GTCGATAAAGACTATTTTGTGTGCATAGATTTCCCCTGGGGTAATGTGTTTTCTTCCCATCTTATAATTAACAATTTAGTCCCAAAATAATCCCATAGCTATAATGCCGCCAAAGGATATTTGAAAATGATTTTTGGATTCAATGGTGCGTCCACTGGCTATGCATATATAGTCATGGTTTGGGAAAACAATCCGCACCAAAACCAGAAGTATGGGAAATTGAGTGAGAGAACAGTGCAAAGAATGTCAACCCATCGGTGGCCTCGTGAGCACTGAAGAACTGCAAAAGGGGCATCACCGTGTGCTGGAATGCATGGCGGATGGCATCCCACCTGTTTGCACTGAAGCCACTCGCTGGCCTCCGCCTTCTCGCAAAGCACTTGGGGATCTTGCCACCATTGCCATCAGCGGAATCATCACCACCAGGACCTCCCGGACCAGCAGGGGGCTTTTTGCCCGCGCCTGCAGTGGACTTCTTGGCCTTGGTGACCTTCTTGGAACTTTCAGCCGAACCATCTGCTGCGATCTGCTTGGACTTCCGCTTGGAGGCATTCTTGCAGGCTGAAGGCATGTCAGGTTCTTCAGGCACAGGTTCTGCAGGCACCACAGGTTCTGAAGGCATGTCAGGTTCTTCAGGCATGTCAGGTTCTTCAGGCACAGGTGCTGCCTTCCCTTTGCCCTTGGTTTTGGTCTTGGGTTCTGACTTCCGCTGTGGCTTCTTGGGAGCTTCTTTCGACTTCGCCTTGGCTTTCGCTTTGGACTTTGTAGATGGCGGGCGACCTCTGCGGACAGGAGCTGGCTTCTGACCATCAGGGCAATCTTCACCATCAGCTGCGGCTCTTTTGAGGCCCAGCTGCATGCGACGACGAAGTACCTCAGGAAAAGACAATGGCCAAAGGTTGGCGCAAGATTCCCCAGCAAAATAAATTTCTAACAAAACAAAGATGGTGAAACCAAAGGATATCAACACAAACAACCCCTGCTATGAAAAACACACAGTTGATGTTTTCAAAATCAAAGTTTCATCCGGCTTCGAGGGTTCCAAATCCGGCTGCTCAAACTCCTGAGTTTTGGCCAAGTGATCTGCCAAAGCATTCATCTCATCGGGATGGGTTGGCAAAGTGTCCACGGTGTCCAAACCAGGTGGGAGACTGTCACAAACCATGATCGGGCCTTCCTTGTCAATCTCCTTCTGCAAAGACTCGCGGCGGGCAGCCCTGGGAGATGGGAACCATGGAAGGACACACAAAGAGCCAAGGAAAAGTTAACTTCTTCAATGAAGAAGTATTGCACAATGAAACTGGGTTCAAAGAACATATTGTTCAAACATCGCCTAAAAGAAGTTACATTTTTATACCAGGCTAGGGTCTGGGCATTCTGCGCAGCACGCAAATCAGCGAGCATCTTCTGGGTCTTCGCAATGCGATCACGAAGCTCAAGCTCCTTCATCTCTTCCATTTCCTCCTGCCAGAATTTCTTGACGGCACGGTCCTTGTCAGTCTCAGGCGGGATGTAGGGCAACTTCTTGTCCTCAGGAGTGAAATTGTCATACGAGCATGCCTCGGCATCGGCATCACCAGGCATGTTTTCGACCAGGCTGCCATTGGAGATGCCATGACTCTCACCATCACCCTTGGGCTCCACAACATGGCTCGCAGAGGCCATAGAGCCAACATCCGAACAATCACCCACATCATCATCAGAACCAACCACTGCTTCATTGGAGGCAGGGACAGGGACGGTGTCATCCACAGGCTCTGGCTTTGGCTGGCTCGAAGGGATGGGATCCAAGGTTGAGCCATCAAGATCTGTCAACGGAAACTGACAAGGCTCAACCTCAGAGCCATACTCAGACACACATGGATCGTCATCGTCATCGTCATCTTCATCACCTGAGAGGATGTCAATGGGCGCTTCGCTGCCCATCTCCACCTCTTCCGCTGGCAATGACTCTGACTCTCCGGCATCTTCTTCGAATTGCTCAGTGTCCGGCTCCTGGAGCTGGCACAAGCTCACGATATGTCAGGTGTCATGCCATATGTGAAAAGAACAAGGTATCCCAAAGGTGAAAAGTCAACGTTTTAGGGAGACAATCCAAAGCAAAGATCAGCATGGGGATGAAACAATGCCCTCCTCCCAAGCTGGGTCCAAGACTGTCAGGAGACGCCGAAATTCTCGGGAGCGTGGGCACTGCCCTCTGGAGTTCTTGCGCTTGATCAAGACACAAAACTTCTTGCAGAACCATGCATCGAGCTTGGTCTGTTGGAGATTAGGCATTCCATCCTTGACCATCTGGTAAAAGGTCGAAATCCTCAGCCAGCGGCAAGTGGCAAAATTTGATGGTGCACTGTTTGAAAAGAATGGCCTAAAATGCCCTCTGTTGCCAAACTGTGGTCCAAACTTGTGAAGGCCACATGTTGCAAACTTCAAATTCCATACCTTCCCCTTAGGAGAAAAAAATCAATCATCTACAGTGAGGTACTCTACTTCGAGGGCTGGGATCGAGCACATGCCAATCGACCCATCTTCATTCAGAAGCCGCCCCAAGAGCGGAAGCAAGACATCGGAATGTGCTGCAACGCACTTGACATTGCACTCAAGCTTCTTGCCATCCACGGTGTCCAGGAAAAGAGAGCCAGTATCCCGCATGCGGGATCTAAGGGTTGCACTGGCCTCCCATTCGGTTGCCATACCTTCGACACCTAAGCCTTGCATCATGGCTTCCATAAACAAGCCACAGGTGACAGACTGATGTTCGAGCAGTCAAAATGCACTGCGACAGAAAGGCAAGAAAAACTGACTTTGAAGCAGTGTGCCAGAAATGGCCCAGGAGCAAAAAAAAGTGTTGCCCCAACCAAGCACCACTAGTATTTTTTTGGGCATGTATCATTTGATTTGATGATAAAATGGACATGCATATTTCCTGAAAGCTATAATAATTAACGAATATATAGGTGTTTTTTGGTGGTTGATGACCATCCCTTGGTTAACAACCCATAGTGCCATTGTGAAGGACAACATATCATAGGGAATTAAGGGTGGTTAGTCTTTAGCCTACAGGAGCCATTATACCCATCATGTATCAAATTAATGTACATAGGTAAGTCATACAGTACCCAGGGGTCATTAGTGCAATCATGTGGAATGTAGACCGTGTTGGATCAGATAGGTATATTGTTGTAAATCTAAGCCCTAAACCCATGTTGAATCAGATAGGTATATTGCTGTTAAATCCTGTTAACATCGTGTCTAATATTATTGTGCACGGTCATGTATGATCTATCATATATACCATATATCTTAGCATCCCAAGTGCCAAACTGTGGCTTCCCCCGGCTCCATCTGGCTGCCAAGGGCCGGACCTTGCAGCCGTTGAGAAAGATTTGCACCAGCAGCCAAAAATTGGCTCCAAAAGCAGCGGGTAAACGGGCAACTGGTGGTGACCCAGGTGAACCAAGCTTGTATTAAACCCAATGGGAATCTATTTGATTTTCTGATGTCATTTCGCCAGGGTTTGGGATTATGACATTCACCAAATCTCACTTATTTCTACATTTGAGGAATCCATGTTGGAGAAATTCAGATGGAATTGGATGATGGGTTGAGAAAGTATGCCCCTTTGCTGTAAAGTACGGCCCTTTCAAAATAACCAGGTTTTTGATATGAAAACCAAGTTTTTTGGAAAGGCCTACCGTTTTGGAGGTCTTTGGAGGATGCAGGTATATATATATATTAATTATATATATATAATTATATATAATGTTGTTCATGTTCACGCCAAACATGCATGCTCGCTGCTCCAGGAAGCCAGGCAGCATTTCCAAGGTAAAATCCACAATCATTGGCCCAGTGTAGTGTAGGAAATCGAGCGCGCAGAAAGCCACGCTCCAAATTGAACTAGTTTTAGGAAAAGTCTGTCCAATTCTACAACAAAATGTTTCAGAGTCGAACAAAATGGCTTTAGTCGTCAACGTATAAGTTCGACAAGTTTGCAGCCATCGTTTGTTTGCCAACATGCCGCACGATACATCGCTACTTTTTTTGGTGTATGTTTTCCATGACAGCGAGTACTCCGAAACTGGAAAGCAAAACACTCTGAACATTATCCTCATGAACAAAAGCACGGCTGTGTGTGGTCATGTGCATGGTTGTGTGAACAGGGTGGTTGATGCCAACATGTTTTGAATTGTTTGGCACTATAGAATGTCGTTCCAGGGCCAATATATTAATCGCCAAAATTTAAATCCTGGTGCCAGTATGTTCAATACAAGAGCTTTGACGTGTTTAACGACTGGCCTCACAACATTGTATATACGCATATAAACATAATATATATATATATAATTAATTGTATATATATATGTGTATATATATATATATGTGACTCACAACATTACGTGGCTCGCTTCTGGACTCTATCTATTGCAAAACGGGCCCCTGTTTTCGCACAATCGAAATAAGCTTGCCGCACCATCACATGATACTTGCTGAACCCGTTTTCTTCACCTGTCAAAATCTGTGATTGGATGGCCATCTGTTGGCAATGGATGGAATTGCAGGAAGCAACTGTAAGACATTCAGGAAGTTTCGAACCAGTTCGGAGGTTGATTGGTGGTTTGTACATTGGAATGTGATGGAATGTGCATAGACGTAAGTGGCTTGTGACAGGAAATCCCGAAACCGAGGAGGGAAAGAAGGAAGGGCTCTGCAATTGATAGTTGTGAGATCTTGATAGACACACTGAAAGGCCGGCGGTTGGAGCTTCCCCTGAAATTTTATTTCTTGATCACCAGCGATGATATTTTCAACCTTGAGAAAGGCTACAGTTGAATGATGCTTTGGGCTAAAAGTTGGGTGCTCCAATTTCGTATGACATTGAAGAATTTAGCATGGGCTGGCGGCTGCAGGCCCCCATTTGTACTGACGGCACCGGCACTGCGAACATGGCAATCCTCACATTTTCTCCTCATGTTTTCAACTTCGTTTCCTCTTGGGTCCCAATGCAAGGAGTCAACTCACCCCCGAAACACTCACTATTCCAAACCTCGGCTCAGCTGAGGAGCGACCGTGACGTTCAGAATTTGGTCAAGTACGAGCTGTTGAACTACAAGCACCTTTGCAGAGACCTCCTTCAAAGAGTCATAGAACATAATCCTGCAGATTCAACGGCATTTCACAACCTGGGCCATCTCCTGTCGGCCAGTGACGTGATCCAGGTGCAGCTGCAAGGTGGACCCAGGGAGTTTACCAAGAAAGGTCTGCACTTGGAGTCCATCAGGCTGGACAACGGCAATGCACGTGCATACAACAACCTGGGCATTCTGCTGTCCGCCGACGAGGTGATCCAGGTGCGGCTGCAAGGTGGACCCAGGGAGTTTACCAAGAAAGGTCTGTACTTGGAGTCCATCAGGCTGGACAACGGCAATGCACGTGCCTACAACAACCTGGGCATTCTGCTGTCGGCCGACGAGGTGATCCAGGTGCAGCTGCAAGGTGGACCCAGGGAGTTTACCAAGAAAGGTCTGCACTTGGAGTCCATCAGGCTGGACAACGGCTGTGCACTTGCATACTACATGCTGGGCACTCTGCTGTCGGCCGACAAGGTGATCCAGGTGCAGCTGCAAGGTGGACCCAGGGAGTTCACCCTGAAAGATCTATACTTGGAGTCCATCAGGCTGGAAAACGGCTTTGCACTTGCATACTTCAACCTGGGCACTCTGCTGTCGGCCGACGAGGTGATCCAGGTGCAGCTGCAAGGTGGATCCAGGGAGTTTACCAAGAAAGATCTGTACTTGGAGTCCATCAGGCTGGACAACGGCGATGCACATGCATACAACCACCTGGGCACTCTGCTGTCGGCCGACGAGGTGATCCAGGTGCAGCTGCAAGGTGGACCCAGGGAGTTTACCAAGAAAGGTCTGCACTTGGAGTCCATCAGGCTGGACAACGGCCATGCACGTGCATACTACATGCTGGGCAATGCGCTGTCGGCCGACGAGGTGATCCAGGTGCAGCTGCAAGGTGGACCCAGGGAGTTCACCCTGAAAGATCTATACTTGGAGTCCATCAGGCTGAACAACGGCTTTGCACTTGCATACTACATGCTGGGCATTCTGCTGTCGGCCGACAAGGTGATCCAGGTGCAGCTGCAAGGTGGACCCAGGGAGTTTACCAAGAAAGGTCTGTACTTGGAGTCCATCAGGCTGGACAACGGCTGTGCAAAGGCATACTACAACCTGGGCCATCTCCTGTCGTCCAACGAGGTGATCCAGGTGCAGCTGCGAGGTGGACCCAGGGAGTTTACCAAGAAAGGTCTGTTCTTGGAGTCCATCAGGCTGAACAACGGCTTTGCACGTGCATACATCAACCTGAGCACTCTGCTGTCGGCCGACGAGGTGATCCAGGTGCAGCTGCAAGGTGGACCCAGGGAGTTTACCCAGAAAGATCTGTACTTGGAGTCCATCAGGCTGAACAACGGCTGTGCACATGCATACCACAACCTGGGCACTCTGCTGTCGGCCGACGAGGTGATCCAGGTGCAGCTGCAAGGTGGACCCAGGGAGTTTACCAAGAAAGATCTGTACTTAGAGTCCATCAGGCTGGACAACGGCTTTGCAATTGCGTACACCAACCTGGGCACTCTCCTGTCGGCCAGCGAGGTGATCCAGGTGCAGCTGCAAGGTGGGTTTCGAGAGTTTACCAAGCAGGAGCTCCTATCATGGCGTGCCTGACCCTAGTTGGATCTGAGAATGCAGTAGCAAAACTCAAATGATGCATTCGTATTTGCTTTTGATGGCTGAAGATCAACCCTTGACTTCAGAGGAAAGTGGCCATAAAGGACTTTCAGCGGGAAACCGCCAAAATTGGTTTGTTGATACAGTAATTTGTTTGAAACTTACCATTCATTAGCTAGCACGGTGTGTGTGTGTGTGTGGGTCCCAATTGCATGGTCACTTTGATCCCGGATGTCACCGTGTATTCGGAATGCCCTGCGTTCCTGGACGTGGAAAATCCGCATAAATATTACCTGTGCTCGAGGGTGCATCCAAGAAACCTGATGCAAAGCAAACCTGCTGCTTGATTGTTCGAAGGATTAATTTTTGTCCACCTGATTTGGGATCCAAATTGACGAGCATACCGTGATTGCTGGGATGGTTTATTGTTGGGCACCAGTACTTGAAGTGTCCCGAAATGATCCCCAGATTTCCCCTTGAAACATGCGAAAGCACCATCAAAATCAATACCAAACCAACTTTAAATGCAATGCATGTTCACCCTCTTTCACCATTCCACTCCAATCTTGAAACCCTGTTGATTTTCCATGATTTTCCCATGAATTCACAAACACAATTCTGATCTTTCCGTATGTTTCACGCTTTTCCCGTGGTTTTCCCTATGACTTCAGCCCCTTTTTCCCCCGAGGTGGGCGAGACGGCCAAGGCGGTGATGCCGGACGAGATCACGGAGCCACGCTTCCTGCAGGACTGGAAACAGGAGATCCTCGAAGTGGCCGAAGCTCGATGGAAACATCGTTGGGAGCTTAGGTGGGGATAGAGTGGGGATAGGCTGGGATGGGGATGGGGATGGATTTGATCAACTAGATATGGAATATTTATATCAGTGGATCACCAATATTAATGGGACTTATCATGATTTCCCCAACATTTGGATTTATGTTAATGAGAATTCATATGAATTCATGGGATTTTCATGAACATCGATGTCGATGATTAATGGTCATGATCGGGGGTATGATTGGATGGATGGAGATTGGATGGAGATGGTCATTGGATTTCTTTGATCGCCACCTATGGGGTATTGAGGCTTCAAAAGGTGGGTTTCACCAACAGGACAACAAAGATATACAAAGATGAGAGCAATGAAACAACGGAAACAATGATTCAACCAGCAGACATCAGGAGTGAACGAAGAAGATGAAAGAAACCCACAAGCGCTTTGATGTAGATGAGATAGGCAATCACGATGCATCACGAAGAGGTTGGCAGTGGTATGGACTGGGCAGCGTTTACCATCAACCTGTTTCAGGGCAGAAATCTAAACATGGTTTGATGTAGGCAGCAAACCTGAGGGACTTGATCAACATCGAAAAACATAGCATCAACATCCATCAACATCCATCAACATCCATCAACCATGGGAACTTCAGCAACCGAACTGGTGCAAAAACAGAGATCAACCATGGGATGTGGAATCCCATGAATCCCCATGAATATGCCCAGCTGTTTCACTGCTAGGAATATGCCAATGAACTTGGATGTGTCTTGGTGATGGTCGAAAATGAGGTTGGTAGTAACTGATTTTATGGGAAGTGTGAATGAGCAAGGATTTGATAAATCAAAAACATGGGCGGGGCACCCTGCTTTTAATATCTGTTCAATGGTTCAATGCTTTTAACCAATCAGTAGGCTCAATCGGATGACAAAGGCCAAATTGGGCCATGGTAAAGATGATTTGTTCAGTCTGCAAGCCCAGATTGGTACATCCCAGAAACTGGTTCATCTATGCGGAAGAAATTTATAGAGGTTTCCTAATATGGGGATACCCCCAAATCATCCCATAAAACTGTTACTTAATGGGAAAACCTATGGCTTTGGGGTGCCCAAAACCCTGGTTGTCCAAACAGAAAGAATGTCCTAAAGTCCATCGGTTTCAAGCCATTTCAGACCCAGACTTGTTATTGATTGGTTAACTCCCTATTTGTCCCTATTTTGATGGTAGGATCCCATAAATTTGTTCATTAAATCCACCATGTGTCCAGAGGCCAAAAAATAGGTGAGTTGGATACTCCCCATTGGTCATGGTGAACGCCCATTATCCCCATTATCTGCATTGTGTAACAAGAACATATATAATAACAATGATGGATACATTCCAATTTTATTCATGTTTGGTAAACTCCCCATTGGTGGCCGGTGAAACCCTAATGTCCAGAAAGATTCAGAATCACCCAGCTATGATTTCTAGACCATGCCTGGTCAATCCCCATCGTACATGTGTTGATTCTTCATCCCGATTATCCCCAATCTCCATGATATAGTGATAGTGGTGAAATCATGTGAAATCCCATATAATCAGATGAATAATCCCATGAAGTTTCGGGATAGTACTATCCCTTGCATCTCATGATGCTCCAATGCCCCATGATTTTTTTGGCAGAAATCCCACCTGAGGTTTCCTCTCGGGAGGCGGCTCCGAGTCGCCGCAGGACTATGTGGGACTTACCCACAACAACCTGCAGATCGACAACGTGCCGTGGCGAGTCCGGTGGATCTGTTGGGAACCCTCCAGGGTCATCCCAGATGGCTGGGAAATCCTGGATCAATGGGGTTTTTGAATGGGAAGATCCTCGAAGTAAATGGGTGGATGTTCAATATTGCCATAATTCCTAATTACCAGAGGGTATGGGGAAAAGTGGAATCAGTTCATTTGTATAACCTTGCTATACACCCAAAATTGGCCATTTTACTTGGTAAAATATGTAAACGTTACACATGGTTTTAGTTATGTACCGGGGAAAATGAATGTTGATTGATCTCAGTACCAGCTGGTGACATCATGTATGATCATGATGTCATCAAGAAGTTTGCTCATCCTATTTAGACTATATACTCGATCATTTTAGCAGCATTTGGGTATCGGTCAAAATGACTGATCCTCAAATGGATGGTTCACCAGTCATTCTAAAGATGACCCACCCTCTGTAGGTTGACACAGGGGTACCCCAATTGTTTGACCCATACCCACAGTATCCCACAGTACAACTGGAGCTATTCCATGCCATGTGGCTTCCAAACGTTTGAAAAACTGCCAGAATAGATTCAAGTTCAATCCATATCGTTCCTAGAGCCACATTAATTGAGCCATTTTCGTTGGAATATCAAGTAGATGTGGCTATTAATGTGCCACATTAATTGAACCATTAATAGCCATCTATCCATATATCAAGTTAGAGCCGCTTTCATTTTCGTTGGAATATCCCATCCTTGGTCCAGTTGGGTCACCTGCAGCCATCTTGGTGAAACGACCCCAGGCCTTCTTCTGGCGAAACGTTTAGGGCTCAGATCGCTGGATCATCAACAATTTCTGTATCCCAATGCTTTGGCCCAAAACCTTCGAACGTCAAAACATGTATTCTATTTTTTAGATGTAAAACGTGTGCTGAGATTGAAGTAGGTTTTTTGTAGGACTTTGCCAATCCTTTGCCAATCTCACCGGCCAGGAACAGAACGAGGTGGAAGTTGGTTTGTTGGATTGGGGCATTCTGGGTTGTGGTCCTCTGAGTGGAGCCATGCAAGGCCGGGATTGGGGGGCTGGGTCACAACCTATGATACCATAGTGGGGAGGATGAACATCCAGCTATATCTGGCTATCAATCAGCCAATGGTGTTCACAATTCCAGGAGATAGATCATAGATCTAGATTATCATAGCCAAAATGGATGCAGAATGGTTTTCGATCCTCAAAAGCACCAGCATTTTGCAGGCTCACAAAGGTACCCCATTATTGTTCCGCCCCATTGAACATGATGACAGTGATGACAGCCAGGCTGCATTTCTGGTGCCTCCACTGAAGTCTTGCTGGAGCCCCCTGGCAGTCGTATGCAGTGGTGGTGAGGGAGCTGTGGGCGACAGGATATACTCCGGTGGATGCAGATGGACTGAAAATGTTGGGAGAATCCCAAAATCTCATGGAGAAAATCGTTGTTTCCCGTCAACTTTGCAAGGGATATCCCCAGTTGTTCGACTTTTTGACACAGGAACGACCATATCAAAAAATTTACATGATTCTGAATGGGTCTGAGTATGCGATGATTCTGATTCAGTTTATATACGTATACAATTATACCTTGATTGATGCATACGTGCTTTCCCAAAGCAATAGCGAGCTCACAATGGTCTCACCAGAGATGATAAGTGAGGGGAACCACCCAGGAACGTTTATAATTTGGCCAGATGATGTTATATCCATACACTTGCGCATGTTGGGGCCATTTTGTCTTGGGAACGTAAAAAAGCCGCTACAGTAACTACTTCAAGATATATTGCAGGCAAACCACATTATTTGCTGTGGATTGCTTTAATAGTTTGAAACACTGAACTGATGATGGGTTTGATAATTGATGGCAAGCAAAAGGTGTCATAACCGCTTCCAAGATCCTCATAAGAGTGATATTTATGTGGATATACCTCAGTTTCCTTACCAACAATGTGTATGAGCAGCCACTTTCACTTCATAACTGAAATGTACCTTGGGATCTACCACAGCTTTATACTACCCATGGTATATTTCTGCCATATCCTTTTTCAAATCGATATACCACTAACATCCATCGAATATTGAAACATTGCATTGGAAATCAATATGTAATTAATTATCTCTTCAGTACATACTCAATATACCAACATCTATTGAAATCCATATATGAAAAATTGACATCCAATATACCAACATTAACTCTTAATAACCAACATCTATTGGGCTATTGAAATTATGAACATCTCCAAAGCTCCAACTTAAATCCTTCGGTCCTTCGGCGCCAGGCACCGAGATGCCTTTCTGAGGGCCTTCATCGACAGCTACGCGGAGAATGGTGGGCCCCGATTGGATCTGGACCGGTTCCTGGGTTCCCCGGTGGTTCCCAGGTGGGTCCCCGGTGGCTCCCCGGTGAGGTGGCTAATTTCAAAAAATAGCAATGCTAGTTGCTACGGAAAATTAGGCTTGGATCATTCACTTATGATGTTTTTCCATATTATATGTATTTGGGGAGACGCACATCCATATGTAATATAACATTATATTATATAGCAGTTATAATCACAACATCATACTTGTATCTACTAATTGGCTTAAGTCGTATCAAGTGACCTGAAGTCGTATCAAGGTTCTGCCTGCTGCTGGGAAAAGAGCGGGGCCAAAGTTGCTGAAATTTTTGTTGTGTAATCCCTTCCCCCTAATATCAAACACCCCCTTAGAAACCATGGTATAGGGAATTTCCACATAATTGAATAATTGGGACCATTTATGGGGTGTTTAATATTAGGGTGATGGGATTATTTGTTTTCTTGGTGTGATGCTGATTATCTTGTAAAAGAAAAAGGGAGTCTCGGTCGCCATGTTTGGCGCTTACTCACCCAGTGCCTGGTAGAGTTTCGCCAGGGGGGCAGACAGGGGCACCTCAGTCGTGCCTATAGAGTTCCATGCAGGAACGCATGTTTCTACAACACTAGGCGCGCCTTTCGACTCCCACACTAAGAAGCAAAACTACAGAGAAAAAGAGGAAGAAAAAGAACATCAATTTGAAATCAAACATCATGGAAATCAAAACTCCATATCTCATGGAAATCAAAATCGGGAACATCAGTTTCCATGGGATATGGACAACCGTGTGGATTCGTGATTGAAAGCTGGCATGATCATGGTGCCCATCACTAAGACATGGGGATTTGTGCTGGTTCCAAAGATGAGAGTCCTTGAATGCCCTGTGCCATGGTATAATTCCGTAGTATGTCCTATGAAAACATACATTGAATGTTGATAAACTATGTTAAATACCTCAGGTTGCGCCGGTTGTTTTCTTCATTTTCTGATATATAGACTGTTCCCTGAAAGGCCGGTGTGACATGAGGAGACTTTGATGTGACTTCTTCCAACTCGCTGTGACATGGTTGATGTGCTGCCCTGCCCACTTGATGTGACTGGTATTTGTATGTTGGTATAATACTGGTTTATCATGGTTTACCAACATATGCATCCTATGATTTCTCAACATCAAATTATAACTAGCATTTATCCTAGGCTGATTCCTGGATACCAAACTTTGGGTCTCTTGATCCATGGTCCATGGTCACCACAAATGGGTCTGGAAAACTTATCAAAATGTAAAGAATGAAGATGTACTGTATTTGATGATTTGACATCCTTAATGGGTTTCTTGATATGTATATGGGGCAGATGAGTTGGCACCACTCTGCTTTGATCCCGAAAAATATGGGTTTGTGTCGAATTTTGGTATACCCAAGAATTTCATGGCCTTCAGCATTTTCCCCATATCAACATTGCCCATTTCGATGGCTTGGAATGGGTCTCCCCAACTGGAGCCGGTTCTGCGCCAGGAGCGCTTCAAAACCATGTCCAATCTGCAGATGTTGATGTGGTCAATGAACATCACCAGCACCTCGGCTCCAGAGGGGGGGGCGGCATTAATTGTTTTAGGGTTGTTTTAACATGTGGTACCCCCAAAAAAATGTATCTGGAGATTGTACACCCTCCAATTTCTAGGTTGAAACTGTGGTGAACTACAGAAATTCGACCTATGAAATATTGAGGTGCTAGCTACATGGATCAAGAAAACCAGGTCCAAGTGGTAGGACGGGGCCATACCCAAAGAGGTTAAGAGGGAATGCCAATCGTCAGCTGAAGTTTTGGGTGCTTCAAAACTGAAATTTTGGAGGGTCTACCTGGTTGATGTTGGATGCAACTACTCTATCAGTGTATTTGCAAAATGAAATTGGACATCTTCGTGTGCAGGTTTTCTCAATAAGAGATCATATTTCAGGGAGGATATTGTCCACATCCCTTCGGAAGAAACAAAACAATGTGAAATCCACACTTCCAACCGCATTCAGTGTGACCTTACCCAAAGAGTTTGAAGAATTTTCTCCAAATTTTCCATGGTCACTCCCCCAATTTTAAGAACTAATTAACTAATATCTAGTTCATCCCATTTGTTTTGCAACCAAATCCCAACAAAATCCCTCAAAATCCAGCGATTTACTCATTTGATGTCACCCCTGGCTGAAAGTCGCATCGCACTGAGGCAATGTGTCGCAGGTGTTGAAGTTCACCAAACCAGCGGAATGGGCCGAGATCAAAGATTGGATGGATCCAAGGTGCCGCCGGATGTTTGGATCAGTCAAAACGGAGGTGGATCAATATCATCCCAATGACATCGCTGCACAGACGTCATTGGTTTTCTCATACCTTTCAAACGTGGAACCTCCTGACGAATGTCAGGCCTTTCACCCCAAACTGTGGAGCCGAAAAAGTCCGAAAACCAGTCAGGTTATTGGATCGTTTCCAGACCCGAGCCCACACCACGCAGTTTAAAGAAGCCTTGTTGCTCGGACAGGTTGGGATGGGTGGAATTCTCACTTCTAAGTGGCTAACAAGCTGAAGGTTACCATTACCATAGATCTTAAAACAACATGATCATCAGCCATAATTATGGCATATTATGGCATATTATGGCATATTGTGGATGTGATTCTACAGGAATCCTTGCAAAAGTCGTCGGAACTTCAGAGACCTGGACTGGGACCACGGCACCAAGGCAGCTCTACAAGAAGTGGAACCTCTATGGCGTTTTCCAGAAATGGAGGCAGGAAAATGGCCTCCCCAAAAAGGGATGACAAAGGGATGACCATGATGACCAACTGCTCAGCAGATGCACCAGTTTTCCGCAGGGAACCCGTGACGGGACAATGCTCCCCGTCAGAAACGCAGGATCTTTTGCGTGCCGCCGCATGCTCCGCAGGTGGCGTAAGAAGTTGCAGCAAATCTGTTGGGTGTGGAGAATACGATTCATGGAGTCACAACCGATCGGGCAAAAACCCTCAAAAAATGTGGGAACACAAAAAAACATCTGTTGAGGTCACATACCACCCCAAGTCAGGTGGCAGATAGGCCCCTTCCAGCCCCAGTGCTTCGCAATGCTTCGCAATTTGCGCCGAAACTGCTGGAGCTGCTGTGCCGGCGGAACTTTTTGGTGCTTCAGCATGTACAACTCATCGCTGAAGCTACAGCTGATGGGAGGCTGCAACTGGAGCCAATGCCCTCCCCGGATAGATTTAACTCTCCAGTAAATTAACAAAACAATATGGAAAACTCGTTGTGAAACATGGTGAAAGCCTAGGATAATTATTTACAAACGGCACGGCACATCTATGTTAAATTGTATTAATTTAATTTTAGGGTAACGTCCAGTATTGTATCAGAACAGGTCCGAGGGAACACGTTCCAGAACCCCCCCTATATGTACTTGGTAAACATGTCACGCTACCCTGCAAGAATCCTCGGATAAATCATTATAGATCCATAAGACGCCATGAAGCATCATAAAACATCATAAAAGCATATAAAACCATATCATATAAAGCATTATAAAACATTGTAAAACCATATAAAAGCATTTTCGGAATATCTATCCCATCTTCCATCACCAGCCTCCTGTCATTGGCATCTCCCTATGGAGGGAGGCATGTGCACAATCCGTCGGAAAAAAGTCACTGCGTGATGGAAGAAGCCATTCCCGGAGTCATCCAGGCTTTCAATTGGTAAAACAGGAAACCAACTGACGATACCCAGCCTGCTCAGCGAAAAGACCCCAACAAAAATCTGCTGTTTCTCTATGCCACTTGGTTAGCTTTCGGGACCTTATAGTTTTGTATAGTTCTATTTTCTTCCCCCCAACATTAAGTCATTAAGTATCCAATCAGCGACCCCTGGGCCGGGCGCCACAAGGTCGGTGGGTTCTTACTGTAGCAACGAGAATCTGCCTCTCGGCCCTGGACCGGTTGGCTTCAAGTTCGGCGAAACTTGGGACCCCCATGGACCCCCCAAAAAAATTGGCAACACATATATTTCACCAACACCATGTGGAACCCCATTTCTGGGAAATCCACAAAGTTTAGGCCGGGTTCGGTCCAGTTTGAGAAACACCCGACATAGAAAACATGGTGATTTCACTGGGCAAGACCTGATTTCTCTCTGTTGGTGGATCACCTGGTAATGCAGGATTTTACCAACATTTTTGCACCAATGGACATATGAAAATATACCGTATATTATATATAATATCTATGTTATATATATATATATCCGTATATCCAACTATAGCGGGGATATGACTGGAGCTCAGGGATGTGTAAGGAAAAGAACCGGTTTTCTTCCAAGGCGCAGCTGGAAACTTTGGGGTCCAGCGAGGTCCTATGTTAGGGGAACATGGACATCAATGATCATTAATGATCATCAATGTTTGTGTTAACCATTACCCATTAATTATAACCATTAATTTACCATTCATAGAGCCATTCGTATAACTATTCATATAACCATTAATAACCATATAACCATGGATATAACCTCAACGATCATGAATGTATTGATATTTTTACCATTCACCCAGCTCCCAACCATCCCACTTCTTCTAACCCGTCCGTTCTACTCCCAGGCCAGAGACTGCTAGCTGGAGAGAGAGCCGCCCCTGGAAGGCGCTGTGTGGGGTGACGTAGACAGCGTTGCAAGTGGATGAAACGTTGATTCTTTGCATGTGGATAGATTAGACGAAGATTAGATGAAGATTAGATTATACAGTGGATGACATTATTTGAATCTGAGTTGCAATTAAAAGACATTGGATTGTACCTATGGTCCATTCCCAGATTTTGGTTGGGACACTGGCCCCCTATTTCATGCTGATCTTTCCATCCCCAAGTGACGGGAGGAATCACCAATCAGCTACACTTCTTGTTGCTTAAAGCCACATTTGATATGAATTGAATCCATGTATGGTATATATATGCTAACATTGGGGGTATATTGATGGTAAATGTTACCATATATAGCATACATGGATCCTATGGGATATGAATTGAATCCTAAACTCACGAATCTTCAAATGTTGCTTTTCCTCATTTCCAGACATGTAATGTATTGTGGGGAATTTCTCACTATATGTCGGTCTCTCTGATTTTGACAGACACCCAAATTTCATCGTTTTTTCATATTCTTTCCACGGTTGGATCGGCATGTTTGACGCTCAAATCTCCATAAACAAATATGGCTGGTTCAATTCCCATTGATGGTAAATACTACACCCATGATCCCTATTCTCCCTAGGATCCATACGATTCTTGATGGTTAGTCGCTAAATAAACATCATATGATAAGACATATAATCACTATTAAATCCCAACTTTCATTAATTATTGATGTTATTGATGGGTAAACTCATTGATGGCAAACCACCGATATCTAGCGATGTTTAAATTCTACCGATATCTACGACTATCTACTAGTAAAACTACCCATATTCAATATCTATATGATATTTTGTGCCTTGTAAAATGAAAGAAGATCAACAAAGCCGTGCTTTCGAACATCCCAACATCCAGGCCTTTGCACCCACCTGGGCTAAGCTGAAACAGCGCGAAGCAGAGGCCGGGATGAATCCAGCGCTCGGGATGTGTTGTCAACCATGATTTAGCAGTTTAGCATGGTTTATGGATGCTTAGGGGCTTGGGACGAGTGAAAATTACTGTAGATTGAATGATTGATATGGCCAGAGTGGACTTTTGACTCTAAAGCTTCAGGGTGTTTGCCATAGTCAAATGAAGCTTGGATAGATGTCTTCGAGTCTTCAACTGAAAACCCAATCGCAAGTAACCCGGAACTCTCTTAAGACGCTGAAGCTGAAACTTGTGCTGCTACAGCGTTGAGATTCTGAAGATGAACCTATTCCAATAATGTGGTGAACAACAATATGGAGGTTTCCTAAAATAGGGGTACCCCCGAAAGCCATATTTTAATGGGATGTTCCATTGTAAACCATCCAGTTATTGGGGTACCCCCATTTTAAGAAAGCCCCATATTTTTTGGACCTTGAAATGGCTGTCCCCAGGACCCATCACTGGGACACGCAAAAGAACACTGGCCACGTGTAGCGGCAGACATCGGATGTTCCGCGCGTTTTCTCATTGTTCTTTCAGAGTGTGGCATCTCCAATTCATCCAGTAACTTCAAGCTGACCCCATTCATTTGGTCATGATCATTCTTATCCATTCTTCTCCCACTTGCTCAAGATCCTCCCAGGATGCCCAGTTCTGCTCCCCCAGAGGGTGGGCTCCGCATCGGCAGGTCTTGCACTACAGCACGCTAGCAGAAATCTTGCTGGGCATATGGCTGGTCGCCACTCCCCCAGTGGCGAATTTTTTCCTCGAAATCTCTCGGTGGATGACCCGGAGGTTTCGAAAAACTGGGGAAACCAACGAACTCAATGGTGGATGTTCCAGCAAACCATGTGGCTGATTACCAAAAGGGTAAACCATCCATAGGGGATGATACTCTTGATCGTCTTGATCCATATCGATTTTTCGGGGCTTCAGTGTCATCAGGTGGGGATCATATCCCCATTGAGTGATGGTTAATTTTCATATCCAGCAGTGCGGAGATCTTCAGAGTTCTTCCCTAGGAATTTTCGATGTTGATTCATTTCTCCATCTGTTTATTTCCCTATGGATCCATGGCCACTGTCTGAGAAGGTACAAAAAACCCTCCAAATTATAGTAAATTATATACCCCAGTCCCACTTCCTGAGAAGGTACGACTGGATCCATAGGGATTTAGGGAACTCTGTAAATCAATGGGACAAATTGTGGTATTTGACTCTTCCCATTGCCTGAGGTCAGTATTTTGATGCCCTGGAGACAAATCTTGACCTGCATCCTGTGACCCCAAAAATGGGGGTGGCAACCATAGCTGGCAGTCGGAAATCCCCGAACTACATGGAGGTTGAATGAGATAATGATGTGACCATAATCAACGGGAAAATTTCCAGCTAGCCATGTGACTGATTACCGGAGAGTAAGTGTTCCTGGCAGAACTTGTGCATCGGCACTGGCTTCGGACTTGATCAACTTGATTCATGGTGAACATGACAACAGAGGACAAGCTTGAAAGTAGGACAGCTTGAAATGTGTGGGTTAACAAGATGTCAATCGCAAGGTCACCAAATCTAGATGATATCTAGATGACACAAAGGAACGAGCAGTTGATTCTTTATACTGCCCCGGTATCTGACACTCATGTGGTGCAGCTACTGTGTTTCGCTCATCAGCTGTCGCGGAGGTATTGGAACTTTTTGCGACAGCGATATCAGGCGGCTGCCAGACGTGAGAGCTTGGTAGAATTGCTGGAGAACACTCGACCCCCCCAGGGAAGAAGGTGAAGGGCGAAGTGAGGACGACTATTCTTTGATGATTCTTCCATACAATGCCTTTGGGGTTCGAAGCCTACGAATTATTGCAGCGGAAAATGGTGATTATCGTTTTGGTTGCAGATGGAGTTTTCGTTGATCGCCATGTTTTTTTTTCAGTCGCGGTCTTAATGAGAACATCAATTATGAGAACATCAATGAATAATGATGATAAATCAAAGAAAATTATGAGAACATCAATGAACATCAATTATTAGAACCTGATCTACAAATCTTGGATATTCTTGGATTACTAGCCATGTTTGTTTCCCGGTTAAAGAAGGCACATTTTTGCCACGGTCGCAGGTGCCACGATCGCACGAAGCTCACCTGAAGGTCCTCGGGTCCTCCGTGGAGACAGAGTTTCTGCTAAGATTCAAAAAGTGACCCATGTGACCTCCAACAAAAGCAGAAAGGGTTCAACTATGTTCAACTTCCCACCATTTTTGCAATTTCGTGATTGTATTTTCTTGTATTTTCTATCTTTTTGGGTGGTTGTTGCACTCCAAACACATCCAGTTACACGATCCACATGCAGCAATGCCACATTTGCATGAAGCCGGGTAGAGATAGAAGTAGAAGTGGAAGAATCGAATAACGGTTCTGGACTTCAGCACAATCTTAGGATATTTCTGATCTGGATTTGTCTGAAAATGGGGTACCCCACAAGCCACTGGTATATCTAATATTCCACTGGTTCATCACTATTCTTAAATCAGAATTGACTATCCCATTGTCAGACGCAAAATCCATGATTTGTATGGATTAAATCCCTATCCCCATTTGGATCGGTTAGATCCTGATGTTTATGAAATCCCCATTGAAAAGCTAATCGCGAGGCAATGTACCACATCAATAAAACCATTAAAAAAAGAACATTTAAAAAAAACACAGAAATCCCAAACTTCGGCTGGTGAAATCCAAAAAAGCAACGGAAACTGTCAGGCCTGGCGGCAGATTGGTGCAAAGGCGCAGCCACTACTGCAGGTCACCGAGATGGGGAAGCTGTGACAGTCACAACATGTCGACATGGGGGTTTCCATCATGGGGATACCCCTTTATCGCTGGATGGTAATGGAAAATCCCAAACAAAAATTGATAATGGGGGGTACCACCATTTTAGGAAACCTCCAAATGTTGTGTGTTGAAGAGTAGATTTTCTCAGCAAGTCTGAGACTCACTTTAAGAATCATGAAGGCATATAGCTAATGTCGCATTTGTTTTGGGACTTGTTTAGCTAGGATTGTCGGCAAGTGTGTGTTTACAATCATTATCAATCATTGATGTATTTGGGAGGCATTTGGGAGGCATTTGGGTATACCGGTGACAACAAATATCAACAAAAATAGGTTGCTTCGGCGATGCCATTTTTTGTTTGGGGGTAGATGGTCGGGGCAACACATGTCCCACAACGGGGGATCAGCCTGTTTTTTTGGCAGCATATGTTTAAGAGTCGAGATATTATCGGTTGGCAGGTTGCCTGGTTTTCCCATTACTTATGCCTCTGATGTTAATTGTTCAGTTAAATTCTATCAAATGCGCATTATCACCCATGGAACCCATATGAGCCACAAAACTCTGGCAGGAAACATGCAAGGGACGGACATTGATTTTCAGAATGCAAACATGAGGTATCATATGCGATAGGACCTTACCAAATCGCCCTCCTGTCATATCATCTACTATCATCAAAATCATCTATATCATCTATGATAATCTATGATCATCTATGATCATCTATGATCATCTATGTTCATCTATGTTCATCTATTCATATCTATTGAATGTATAGAATCACTGGTCAAAACAGGCTTGGTTGCAGCTCCCGCCAGGCCGCTCCCTTCCTCCAGAAGCCCTTGGACATGGCGAAGGCGAGTGATTTCACCCAACACGGTGATCCAATGGAATTTCATGAGGAAATTGGGATATAAGATAATATATAACTAAAGATATATATATATATATTATAATATGTGTGATTTATGTGATTTATGTGATTTATAAACTACAGTAATGATTTATTTATGCGATTTAACTGGTGCTCTCATGGGATATTCTCCTAACAGAGATTAGAGTTGGGCATCCCAAACTGTGTTTGGATCGTATGATCCCCATGGGTGTCGAATCCACCGACATGCTGCCGCCAGGGTTGGTTTCAGCCGCAAGCCTGAGGGCGATAGGAGCATTGCTCAAGTCCTTGGGTACCAAATTTCAACAAATCAGTGGCTTGATGGGTGATGAGGAAAACACTTGTATGGATTTGTAACCCCCAAAACAAGCAGTTTTGGGGGATATGGCAATGAAGCAACAACTTGGACTTTATGGCTGAAAGATGGCAGCCCCAGCTTCATGAAATCGTTAAGCTCTGCACAGTCACCGTGACATTTTGCCAGTCCGGCTGTGATGTTTCTCTCACAGAGGGCCGGACGATCCCTTGCTCAGAGTCTGCGAAAAATGCTGCAACGCAATGATTTGACTTCTGGTAGTTCTGCCTCTCACCTGCAAGCCCCAAAGCTGTGCTTGAAACCGTTTGAAACAAGAAATTGCCATTTTAGGCTTCCTTAAATGGTGATACTCAGACACAGTGAGAGTCATGAAAGGCAGTCGTGACTCTGAGCTGCAAACTTGGGACATCTTGGGACTGAAGCCACAGGGAGAAGTCCCCCGTAAATGTGACACAAGTCATCACAAGTCCAATCCGCTGTGCTGTGCAGCGGTTGGGTCAACAGACTCCCGGCGACGTGACGACGCACACGGTGCGCTTTCGCGTCAAGGGTATCTCTTTTGCAGTGCGCAAAATGCAATGTTTGTGGGTTGTCGATTGCTGAGTTGCTTGCTTTCAGAGTTTGGAGGTATCTCTGAATGCCAGGAAAACACAATGAAGATGGTTTCAGATATTCCTTGTTTCTTTCATTCATGTGTTTGTCCATCTTTATACGAAATAGTTAAATCCAAGTGTTTTTTCTTTGGGGACCGCTTCAAAGTATAAACAGATGCATCATTTTGATTTATTTTAGTGTCCAGTGCGATATGAGATCACTTCCAAAAACAATACCTCATGATGCATCTTGTAATATCTGTCTGTGCTTTGGGGCTCGGTTGGCATCTGCAAATATCCAATTTCGGCACCAAACCAGCCAATTACATGGGCTAAAAGCCCGCAAACATGTCGTTCTTTGGAGCCATCCGCTCGGACCGGTCGTCACAGTATCTGATGATACGTTCGGCGTTCGATCGCCAGCGGGGGGGAAAAAACCAGATGACCATTGCATTGTCACGATGGCCACTATGATTTTGGCAATGGTGATTATAAAAAAGAGAATTATATATGTGGATTTATAGTATATAGGATTTGGAGGGATTTGGTATTATGATGGGATTCTTAAACAAAGATTATGAGGAATATCATAGAATTTGGTGTGTTGTTATTCGTGAGGCCTGCCGCATTTTGTCCCTTGAACAGCTTCAGCTGCCAAAGTGCAAACAGACGATGTGCCCAATATGGCCAGGAAGTGGATCCTCCTGATTTAAATGTTGAAATGGTGCCACTATCCATACATTATTTGTATACATTATCTGTATGCATTATCCCTAAACTCCTGTTTTTTTTGGTGTCGTCAGGTTGCTTAGTCTGGATTGGTTTCAGCTGTGGGGCGAGCAAAGGTGATCTCAAAACAACATGTTATTCCGAAGCAATCTCCCAAAGATGGCTTCCCAGTCTACACGTAACCACTATGAATTATAACCCATAGGATCCATGTATGCTATATAATATTGTAACATTTACCATCAATATACCCCCAATGTTAGCATATATACCATTATACCATACATGGATCCTATGGGTATTAATGTGAATTAATATGATCTCCTGCGTTAAACAAAACGTAAGCTGTTGCGCTGCTCAATGCCGCAATCTCTCCGCTGTGCCAACCATGGTGGAAGTGACAATGCGATGGCAGCGGCAGCAGTTTTGCTTTCGAGACCAAAAGTTTGAGGCACTCGGCATGGTGCAATAAGAGGTTCCGGAAAATGACGGAAGTTGTAGCGCATTGAAGTCTTGTGAAAAGATGCATTAAGTCCATATCACTCCACGCTAGAGTGCTGGGGGATGGGCCGAAATTTATTTTGGCAAACCACAGAGCTGATCATGTTTTGGAATCCAAACCCTGTTTTTTGTTGGGATAAACTACGTTTGATGCACAGCCATATCAAGAAACTCGTGACTTTTGACGAAGCAAAGACTGTAATATTGCTGATTCTATATCTAAGATGATTCACCTTATGTTAGACAACACAGTGTTGGCGTAAACTTTTGCACAATGTAAACCATTGTAAAACAACGCTAAATCATGCTAAATCCACATAAATATCATAAATCCACATAAATTCACTTTTTTCCCTTTGGAGATGGGTAGCCGACAGGTGGAACACTTCGATGTGGCCGAAGTGGAGTCCTCCTCTTCGGGCGAGGACGAGGAGTATCTTGGACTCCGTTGGGGTCGGAGGGTGAGGGATTTCTGATGGTTTCTGCATATTTCGAGCTTTTTAATTTGGATGTAACTTGATGTAACCATGGAAAATTATGGAAAATTGGGATTTAGCCAAATAAGGATCTATTTCCTTGAAGAATGGATTTGGGTTTGTCTGAAACGAATACTGTAGTCCAAGAGTCAAGTGTTGCGGGACGTTGCTGGCCGGTCTGCATGTTTTTTTGTGATTCGAGAGCACATTTCAACATCAAGTTACTCTGGTGGTGGTTGCTTCAAGTTGCTTCAATCCCGCGCCCATGTGTCGATGCATCTTGATGGCGTGCAAAGCCCCTCTCAATTTGGTTGAATCCAATGTTGCTGATAAGATCCCACCAGTATCTTCTGTTTGCTAAAAATGGTCAAAACACAAACCCTCACTATTTGTTGGAAAAAAGAACTTAAGATGTTGTTGTTGTCTCGATAAAAACCTCGTGTCTGCAAGTCAAATCAAGCAGTTGGCTGATATATTTCTCATACAAAAAAACAAAATGTTCCAGAAAAAAAAACAGAGTTTCTGCTGGTTTCATGGTTTCACCATCCAAACTCGGGGTGAACTTCCCCTCCGCCACCGGCCACAGCCCTTTTAGGGCCCTGCAAGCGCGCCTCCGACGTCGGGCCGTGGAGGAACAGCTGCAACGCTGCGAGACGGAGCTGGGCGCATGCCTCTGGCGACGTGGCGCAACCAGTGTTCTGTTGACGTTTTTTTCTGGTGGGTTTTCTGGAGGGTTACTACATGTTACTACTATCATTAGACATCGCTATTGTAATTAGTAATAATATGAACTATAACTTACTATGACTATCTATACTATTGTGTTATCATTGGTTATACTATGTCATACTAAATATCAAAGTGGTTGAGTATCAGTACACTGAAATTACTATACAAACTATAACTCCCAATTAGACGTTCTATCCGCTTGGATATGGGGAAAACTCAAACTCACCAACACTAGAATGAGTTGAGTCTGTATTGCATCATCTCCATTAGCTAAAAATCTGTAGCTTTGATCAACAAGTGATGGAGGCTGTTTTCACTGGAAACGCCAAATCATGATGCCCGTGGCCACCGCATCAAATCGAGGTGACGAAATATGGGCCATGTTTTAGCCATGTGGAGAACATGATGGGTAAAGCACTGGAAAATTGGGGTATCCCACAGGATGGATAGGATGGGCCCCCCCAGGGATGTTTGTTGGTTTATAAACCATTACCCCCATGAACTAGTTCGTTAATGTTCGGTTCGGTGTATCTACCATAAACATCCATAACCATAGAATTCAGCCACTTTTTTCGACTGGGGGGCTCATCCTGGGTATCCTCAGGATCGACACCAACCGCGCGACCCTGCGCGTCTTGGAGGATTGGCGTGGCAGCTACGAAGGGATGCGAGTGCTGGAGCTGGGGGCGGGGGCAGGCGGAACCGGATCTGTCTTGGGACCGGTCTTGGGATGGAATGGGTCAGGAAACTGGGATGGATACATCTGTATCAGAATCTATTGGGATGGAGGATGTATGATGTATATAATCTATATTAATCTATTAGAATCTGTACTGTATACATCTTAATTAATTACATGGCTTTGGAGATTGAGCTTTTGAAGGCATTAGATTTGTTTGCCCTCAGAAATTGGGATTTTTCCAGCCCAAATAGGGATTCAAGCTTGAACTTGGGTCCACGCTGAAAATCGCCATCTGTACGGGTTCCATTTGTTTGAGGCTGTTGCATATTGTATTTCAAGAAAGTCATGGCTTAAAGGACAATGAATGCTTTGCTGTGATTGGGTATGATTGGGTTTCAGTGCAATGAGTCGACAAAGATCAGATTTTGTCCTGATGGTTGGCGCCATTTGATATTTGATATCCTTTGCTACTCTCACCTAAGCTGCATGTGGAATGGCTTGCCAGCGGCCCCCTTTTTCAGCTATCTTCCCTGCAAATCCCTACATGGAGTTCTCTCAAGAGTTTGACCACATTTTCATGGTGTTGACAACCTCATTTTCCCTTTCTTTCACATTCGGTCACACATGGAGGTTTCAAAAATTTGTCAGGTCCAGTCTTCATCCAGTCATGGATGACCATGACTTGGAGATTCCCCATGACTTAAGAAACCCCCTTGATACTGGCCCTAGTCCAGGCGCTTGTGGCATAGCCCTTGCTTATGATGGGGCTGATTCCACAGCCCCTGGGATGAATGGGTGGAAGGGAGCACGGTCCCAAACCTTAGTGATGGGGATAGGCTCATTTGGGTTAATGATTAATGATGTGGGACACCCACTGCAGCAAACCGGGAATGATTAATGATTGAAAATTTCCCCCTAAGGGTCAGATGATGTACAGTAAGATGTTGGGGATGCTTTAGTGGCTGTGCCACATGAATTCTCAAGTTGCTTGAATCCAAAGGCATCCCACTGTTTACTTGAATTGCTGAGTCGGCAATCATCCAGAATTTCTCCACGGGTCAATTTGAAAATGGTCTGAGGGGATAGCCATGACATTGCATCTGTAAAATGGAAGATACGATTTCAAACCATGAGATGCTTGGATTTTCCCAACATCAGAGAAACCCCACCAGGTTTCATGTTTCGATCATCCCAGCTTAATATGGCTTCGTCTGAAAATAGGCTGACCCAAAATGATTCTAGCTCCCATTAAAAACATATTGTATAATATATATATATATAATTATATAATATATATATGTATAATATATACATATTGAATAATTCATTGAATATAGTATTTAAATATCTTTTTGATTGGTGTGCCCCATGTTCGGACACACTCGGTATCTCCCAGCGAGGTCACCGATGTGGAAGCTTTGCTGCCCCTGCTGCAGCGCAGCGTGGAGTTGAACCCGCCCCTCGGAGCAGTTCAGTTGAAGGTAGTGTGGTTTGCCGATTGGTAAAGCAACTAGAAACCACCCATAGTTTATCATATTTTGATAGTTTATATCATGTTATTATACAACCCATTCATGGTGAAATTGGGGATGGTTGATTCTTTGGTTTGTCACACTACCAAGCATTGCAATTTCCCGTGGTTGGTAATTTCAAGGGCCCCATCAAAATGTGATGATTTTGTTCAACAAAAATGCTGCTGGTCGACTAAGCGTTTGAAAACCACAATTGATAAATGATCTACCACTAAGCGTAATTGTTGCCATGTTCATTTACTGGATGTGGTACATCCGTGAGTGTGGAAAGAACATCATCATTTTGCCGGTGAGGTCTTGCAAGATTTCCGCTACATTCCATCACGATTGGTCATTGTTTTTTATCGTGTTGGTCCTCTACCTTTTTGAATCACTAATTTGAATAAGTTGATCACAACTCCTTCAATATTGATCACTATTGATCCCTTTTTGACGAAGTTTTGACTAAGTTTTGCCAAGATCAAAAAGGAAACGAAGTGAACGACATCCCAAACTAATTAATCCCCTAAGGATGCTTTAAAGGCTTTGATCCCACTCATTTCATCGCCCAGGCTCTCAATGGAGGTGGGGGAGCGAAGATCTCAGTGATTCACCAAAACATGGATTTCAAACGGCAAATGCAACTTTTTTGCCATGAAAGTCAGATCAACATAGCTTTGAACGTCGTAGATTGATTGAACTATGGAAATATTCCATAGCTTTCAAGCCAATTTGAACTAGATTTTTGATGATTTCATGGCTTTGGTGTGTAAAATTCGATGCTTCAGGTAACAAAATTCCGTGAAATCCCCTGTGATGGCTGCCTCATGGCATAGGACACGGTTGCCAGCGCGGCGAAGTCCAAAAAGAAGTCCAAGGCGAGTCCAGGGATTCGAAGTGGATGGACATCCATTGGTTGGATCTGGTTGAGATAGAGACAAAATCAGCATGATGTGTTTGTATCAGGTCATATCAGGTGATATCAGGTCCATTCGCCAGTCCATTCGCCATTCCAGATCCTGCTCAAACGGCAGGAGGACAAGTCGTCTCGGCGAAAAGGTCGAGGAGCGGAGCCAAGGCAGTGGCCACATGTGGCGGAAAAAACGGCAGTGACGCAGCCATTTTGCTGGGATATCCGGTCAGATATCCGGATCTCATATCCCTATTATGTGGATCTATCTTATTTGTTGTGCAACATTCATATCCCAATATGGGGCCACATTTTGAGAGTGACTTATATAGGCGCCCGATACATCCGTCCTTGAATGCAGGCGTGCTGCTGGTCGTTGCCAGGCTGGGATTTGAGTAGAACTCACTTCAGAGTCAACCTGGATATGTGCATCCAAATGCCAAATCTTGATTCCTGAAAACAATCCGTTCAAGAATCTCCCAGATTTGTTGTAAGGGGGCAATTTGCCGGAAACCTCATGTGTTTGGATAGTAAAATCCGTACTTGAACTGCAGATTTCGATCCAATCCAGAGATCACTGGATTGCTTGACAGAAAATTAGGTGATGGTTTTAGTTTTCGCCATAAAACAATGGATTTTATAGTGTTTTAGGTGATGGTTTTCCCTAAAATTAGGTGATCTTAATGGATTTTACATGTGTCAATTGTCCCTTCATCCCGTTCTCCACGGCTGCGTGAGGCGGCTGCCGTAGAATGGGAGAAGGAGGCACAGATGCCCACGCTGCCGGGGAACTTTGATCTGGTGGCCGCTTGGCGCTGGGATTTTGGAGAAGGGTCCATAAAATCAGATGATTGACACCTGGAAAAGATTTAGTTGAATACTGATATATACTGATATGATATATAATGAAGATTGTATAAATTAATTATATTTAATATAATTGATCATTATTTCAATTGGCAGTTTGTGTTTTCATTTTTTGGGTTCCATTGAAACGCAACCTGGATGAGGTTCCAGACCTCACCAGGGATGGGAATTAGGTGGTAATCCAAATTCAGGTCGTTGAAAAAGACTGGGGATTGTCAAAAAATGATTGATATCCATATTTGAACAGTGTCCAGTTTTTTGTTTCCTAGGCCTCTGATTGAGGTAAGACTTTCTGATGATTATGAATTATCCAGATACTTCCTCAGATCACAACGCAGTTTCTTGACCTAGGTGGTATGCGATTGCCTCTACGAGAATCGAGACAGCGCCTTGGACACAGTCAAGTTTTCAACAGAACATGACGCATTATTTTTTTTTCAGTGGCAGTCAAGATTTTTTTGGGGGTCATCAGGAAACTTGCCAAGATTGTCCACATTGTCAACACGCAATTTGAGCGAATTTTTGAGCTTAAAGGCATCATGTGTACCCTACCAAACGTGGCAAAAAGAAATCTCCAAGTTTTAATGGCGACATCAATAGGGAATTCTCCATGGCCATCATCTTCCACCTCTCATCCAAGTCATCCAAATATCCCTGGTTGCAGTGATCCTCATGCGATATTCATTAAGGATTGCCAGCATTTACTGATCATTTAACCATTGATTAACCACTGAAGCTATGAGATAAAATTGAATCTATAGATGACATTGACCACTGATGCATCTACTTGACATTTAACATCATTCACCACTTAAAAAAAAGAAAACTATTGGATTCACCTTGGATTAACCACATGATTTACCCATCATCAACCATATTTTTCATCGCTTCCCACAGGTTGGTCCTCCCTGCAGCAGCTGCTGCAGCGCCTTGTGGGTCTCCATGGCCATGTGTTGCTGGCTTCGGCGATGCTGCGACAGCCCTTCCTGGAAGCCTTCACGGAGCAGATGGCGGAGGCATGAACCTTCCGACCCGGTGAAACGCGAAGTGGAAGCCGTGTGGCGCATAGAAATAGATGATGAAAATGTGATTATTATATTATTTATGATGATTTATGATGATTTATGATGATTTATGATGATTTATGATGATTTACCCATGAAACATAGTGGTTCATGATGATTCATGATGATTTACCCATGAAACATAGTGATTTACGTAGTTATTAGCCCCTCAAAAAGATAGGAAAGGAATGGAAAGGACAGATTTTGTCACTATCTTAGCATGACTTTTCTACAATTTTTGTGGGGGTCTGTGTATGCACCCAAGAATGACAGGTGAACCATAGAATAGAACAGAGCAGATGCCTTGCACGCTATTCTTTTGGTGAGCCGTTTCAGCCATGTCGTTTGTTCAGGTGGGCTTCACGCTACTGTTCCTTGGCTGGGGAAATCATTGGGATTCGCCAAGTGCATCAAGCTGTTGCAGATGTTCCCTGCGGTGCCGAAGAATCCACCCCTCAATATGGTTTTATTCATTCAAATGCTTCGTATTTCAGAAACCTCCTGGAAATGGTAAGTTTATGTATTATCCCACTAATCCATATACAATTACTAATCCCATAGTATATGATCCCCAATGATTAGTACCCCCTGTTAAAAAATACCATGGTTTACCCCCAGGAAGAAGGAGCAGGGCGGTCCTCTGGGCGACGTCTGCGTGGTGATCCTCCGCCCCCAAGCGATCCAAGAGTCTGCGGACGTGGCGCCAGAGGAGTGGCAAGTCCCGGAGAGCAACGGCGGATGTGGGATATCTATGGGATTTAGCCAAGAAAAATGGTGGTTTCATGAGTTTAATGGGATGTTGATGTGGTTTCATAGGATTTTGATCTGCTTTATATAATGTGTTTTCGATGATGCTTTAATCGTTATTAATGGGATATACAACCAAGAAGGTATGATATGATGGATGGATCTGGATGAAATCATACATCATTTGTCCATGCAGACGTATCTACCAGGAGTAAGGCAGTCATGGGGTGACATCAACAGCAATGGAAGATAGACCTTGGAAGATGAGTTTAGAAGTGAGGGAAGGTTGGAGATGCACTGTACAACGAATAGCAATCGATAATGGGCAAGGTGAACAAAACCAAGATCCAATTGAGAAAACAAAACAATGGGTTTGTTCACCAACACCTGCACCTTGCGATACAGATGGACACAGAAGTTGGACATTTTGGCACCCATCGGATACAACTACCGGATCATGGCAATATAATCACCAGCAATGCTGTGCCAGGAGGCGACGGCGCCTGAAGTGGAAAAAAAAAGTGGTTTGAAACTGGGTAAACTGCAGGGTGAATGGTTCTAAGAGATTCTATGGTTCTCCGACTGTTCTCAGATACGGGGGTCAAAATTGGATACCCCTAAAATGGGCTAGTTACCATCTGGTTATGACTAACAGTTTGCCATGGAAAATCACCATGCTATTAAGTTCGATAAACCATCTATTTCGATTAGGGCCATCTATACCATGGCAAACTGTTAGTCATAACCAGAGGGTAAGAATCGCAAACATCTGTGGTCCATTGAGCCTGAACTTGTCATCACAAATCACCAAGGAGTGCAACCGTCTAAATCGGTTCTGTTCAACGTGTCAGCTGTAAGATGGCTGGTTCTTGTTTTTTTTGCCCTTTTCCGGGGAACTCTTAGCTATGCCACTGGAAGAATGAACTTTCTTGATATCCAAGGTTCGCCATGAAAATCCAGTCCTTGGTACCAGATTTTTCAAAACCGAAGCTGCAGTTCCATTGGCACTGGTACAGGATGGGGCGCCCAAGATAGCCTGCAGTTGCCTGAAAAAAGTGGCTGAATTCTATGGTTTATGGTAGATATAACATGATATAACTATAGTTAATGGGAGTTATAATATTTATAAACCAAGTTATAACTGGGGCCCCATCCTGTAGCACCATTTTTTTGGAGCCAATCCCACATGTGCTTCGCCAGCAATGCGGAGGTGCGGCCTGAAAAATCTGGTTCAAGTCACATAACATTCGCGAAGCGACGGTTTCATCAGTGGCCATCGTGCACTTACCATTGAAAACTATATATCATGGGGAAAAACATGGAAAAAATACTACCAAACCAACCAACCAAATTTGGGATATATACACCAATTTTTTGTATTATACACAACATGATTTTTGTATTTTTGCTGGGTAAATACAACATAAAGAAACACCAATGACCATCCAAAGGTGACCCAAGAATCAACAAGATCAAAACTAAAAACCAACCAATCAATCAACCAATCAATCAATCAACATGTGGTCAAGACCAAATCAATCAAAAGTATAAAATTGACATTTCAATCACTGATTTGAAGTTCACTCTGTAATTGCAGGTTAAAAATCTCCCATGACTTTCCGATCATCCAATCTTTAGCAGCTGCCATGGCGGCCTGTTGGCACTTCTCCCGATGTTTGGGCGCGGTACTGCGGAAGAACTTCACCCTGAAGTGCCCCCAGCTGCCTAACGGTTAGGGAGGTCCGAAAGAACCATGATTTTCCAAGTTAAGTCATGTTGTATCCCCTTTCCCCACGTGTGTTGGGCAGTATGTCATAGGGTTTGTGCAAAAAAAAACAGTTAGATATCTTCAAAATCCACTGGTTTGTACCATGTTAAACCCCATTTCTGCGCAAGCCCATGAGTTGAAGTGATGGTTTCATGTTTCAAGAAAAATCTCTGCGACCTGCATTTCCTTGGAAGGAACCATGTTTGAAGTATCGCACGCCCACAAGATGAGGTTGATTTTATATAGCTTGAGTAGAACACAATTTTACTTGCTTCATTGGTTATATATATGTTATATATGTTACCCCATTTCTTATAGGTTACCCCATTCGATCTTTCCGGAGGGCTCCGGATTTCTGAAGCCTTCCAGGTCCAGACAATGGGCGTCAGCAATGTTGGAGCTATTGCTCCCTGCTGCTTGGCGACCAGAGATGATGAAAAAAATGATGGTTATCAATGGTTATTATATAATGGTTATTAATGGCTATTAATGGCTATCATGATAATATAGATCCCTATCCATACAGTAGTGGATAATTCTCAACTGCAATTATAATATAGTGGGATAAGGATGATGATGATGATGATGATGATGATGATGATGAAAAAATCGAAAGGGAAAAACAAGTCCGAAATCCCAAAACATGGTAGTCTAGTGATATATTATCCTAGTGTTTTTTGTTGATGTATGATACTACTATATGTTTCTGAAAGATTCTTCGAGTCTGGTTCAATGGTTAAATGACATTTCTTATGGCGAATTTTGAAGCTACCAATGAGTCGAGATGCAATCAATAGTGTCATCCAAATTCAGCTTGTACATTACATATATTTGCAATATTTTACAACTTACATCTGTATTTGTTACCAGAGTTTACCACAACCCACCGTCTCACCGTCCTCGTCTTTGCATGGGATTGGTTGCGCTACGCCGAGGTGGCGTTGATGTTTCTGTTGATCTGGATCCGCAGTGAAGTGCAGAAGGCGTGGCTTACTGGTGCGTTTGTTTTACGTAGGGAATGGATGGGAATGGATGGGAATGGATGGGAATGGATGGGAATGGATGGGAATGGATGGGTTGCTGGGATTATTGATAGTAAGCCGGTGGATCATTCCCGAAAATTCCCTACGTTTAGCACAAGTAAGCCCTTCTAGTCATTATAGTGGTGTGCCACAAAAAGAAAGTCGGAACTCAACCAAATTCAAATGGCACAAAACTAGAAAACTTCCACAAACATCAGGAGACTTTGAACTTCAGTGGTCAGTGGCAGGAGGTTGAATCCATGGGATCAAAATCATCCTACCAGGCCAAAGCCATAGACATTGGAAACAATATCCGCTAAAAATGAGCCCTGCCCTTAGGCCCGAGAAAAACAAACAAACCAAAAAAAACTAGGTACCTCCAGTTCATATAGCATCATATGATTCAATCCATGAGATAGTACATCATCCCATCAGATAGTCAATATAGGATAATATGGATCTTTTTTTCCAAAAGTACTATTTTTCATTATGCTTCACGATATCAGATTAGGATAGTACATATATTTAGTAAATATCATAGTGATCTGTACATTGGATGTACTTTTTTCGATAGGTACTTTTGGATTATCATATCATATTATCGTGTCATATTATCATGTAATATCATGTATTATCCATATTATCATATATGATCATATTCATATTCTCCAAAAGTACGATTAAATGTATTAATGATCAATATATGATAGTATTATCAGGTATTATCCATATTATCATTAATCAAAAGTACTATTTTTTAATCATCCCATCGGATAGCGATTTTCCCCGGTGGTTTTTGCCAGGAAGATGTCCCAGCACACGATTATGTGGACGATCCGGTGCCTTGATGATGTGCCACGGAGATTGCTTGGGGTGAATCAATGGATATGTGTTTCGTCAGTATGATATGTTCAAGAACATATATGTATATACGCATATATACATAGATATATCTATACATGATATACATATATATATATACACTATATATAGTTAGTAATAGTATACATATCATAATGTAAATATGTATCATAATGTTTGATCTATCTATTTATATATATATATATATTCCATATTTTATATAGATATATATACTGTATATGACTGTGGCTTACCGATTGAAACATGAAGATCATTTGTTTCTGAGTTGACACGCGCCGAGGCCAACAATCCCACCTGGTTCTCCGCGGAGCCTCTGGATGTGTCCAGCATCCCAGGTGGGGCGTTCACGACCAGTTCACCACGACCATCGCAAGGTCGTTACCGGTAAAGCCTGCTGCATACTATACAGGTGTATAGTGTCATTATTGTCCCATAAAAGGGAGAATCCTCCCCTCATGAACAAGGCTTAATTAATATGTTGTATCATATGTCACCCTCTGGTAAATAAACAGTTTGACCCTGAAAACCACCAATTCTTAATGGAAACTAGTCTTCCAACCCCGATGACTGCCAGGGTCTATGTTCATTTACCAGGTGATATATGGTTTCTGAAAATTTAAGGGAATCATGAAACAGTGATATATGATATATATGGCTTCTGAAAATGTGGGGAAATCATGAAATAAACAGAACCCATATATCTGATGATTTCCCCTTGTAAAATAACATAAAACAAGGCAAACAACCATTGACCATGTCCTCAGACAAAGCCACATGATACATGTGGTCGCCATGGAGTTTTCAGCAGCAGGCCTTCCCCCCGCAGTAAAGAAGCAGCTGGAGCAGCTCTGCAAGTGCCTTGAAGGGCTGGCTTGATGAGTTGGGGAATGGGTCAATGTTTTTTCAATAAAAGGTTTGTTGCTTCGGAAAGAAACTTCATATCAGAATTTGTAAATTATAGTATAGTTGTATGATGATCTAAGATACATTTTGTATTGATTCCTGTTTTGATTTCCAATCAATGGTTTGAATTATGTGTTGGTAAATTAACAGTCCTGTTGATGGCTTTGGTTGGTGCATTGGTGGCCTGCTGAAATATGCTGAAATCGGACGGCCGTGGGGACTTTGTGCTGAGGTCGAAGGATAGCGCTTTGTGCCCCGAGATTTTCGCCAGCTCGTGGGGACTTCGCAAGGAACACTACACAGGCGGCGTATCCGTCAACTGCTGATGGGTTCAGAGTTCGGGTCTTTCTTTTCATGAACTCATCAGATGCTGATGCACATCAGCAAGTCATATGAAGAATCTTTTTGCAAGTCACTCAATGTCACTCACATAGTTTCGGATGGATTGGAATTCTGATGAATTCAGATGGCTTAAGTGACTAATATGCATCTTTTGGAGCTGAATGGTGTTCTGACTAATGTTCACCCATCTTTTCGTTGCTCATGGCTGTTATTGTCTCTGACCTATGGTAACTGTAGTTGAAAGAGCAACCAGAATACCAAGAAGTCATGCTGCACATCCACATATTCATCTATCATGAACTATACACGATACATCTCCGCAAATTGTTAAGCTTTGTTGGGTAATTATGTATCCTCATCTTATCTCAAATTTCGCTATAGATGTCCCATTGTTTTTTTCCTGAATCTCCAAATCCCAACGCTTTCCCAGCACTTTTTGGATTCCATGGTTCCAAACCACCAACCAGTTATACTTAGAAACTCCATAAAACCATCTATTTAACCTCTATAGATTGATGATTTGGAGTTACATAGATTTGGAGTTACTAAAAACCATCTATGGGAGCTATACATAAAACCATAGTTGATGATAAATATCCCATAGATTGGGGTTTTTGAAGCTCCCCTTTCCGCACGAAAGGTTCCGCGCTGGATGGGCTGCTGCCGCTGCACATGGCACAGAGAAATCTGCGGCTGGGCATCGTGGGCACAGCAGGCCATGGGGAGATCCGATGATCCCTGAGCTGGGGCCAGAAATGGTTGGTAAATGGTTGGAAAATGGTTGGAAAATGGTGTTATGTTAAGTTATGTTAATGACATTTTCAATCATTCCAACTTTTGAAACAAGGAGTTGATAAATGCTTGGAAAATGGTGTTATGTAAACCAACCATTATAACCATTATAACATATTATAGCCATGATTGGCATTTACATGCATTTACATGCAATTTACATGCATTTACCAACCTTAACCATATAAATTGGGAAAAATTGGTAAATGTTATGTATGGCATTTTCAATTCCAACTCTTGAAACAAGGAGTTAGTTAAAATTATGTAATTAATTATATATGTATATTATATATTTAGTGATGTCCTGTTCGTACTCAGTTGAGGGATCACCCACGGGGTCCTGCAATCAACCAGGGACTTGGTGAAATTTGCGAAATTTAAGGGAAGTTTCAGTACGACCAAAGCATTGTGTGGTTCATTTATGTTCATTTATGTTCTTCATTTATGGTCATTTGTATGGTAAGAATTGGAAGATCTGATTGTTTGCTTGAGGTCTTTAGATATCTTCAGATCAATATCCTGAAATGAAGACGGCGGACGGCTAATAGCCCAGCGATTTCAGAACTTGGTTCCAAAGGATCTCTCGAAGCTACATTAAGTCGTGACTAAGTTGGCTAAGTCGACATCATTGTCCATTTATATACCAATATATATATATAATATATATATATAGCAATGTCATTACTTCAATTTAGGTTGAACATGCTGGATTTGCGAGATCCCAACTCCACTGCTATGGTCCCGCAGGGAAAGGTTTGGACGATTTCATCTCCTCCCTGCCGGGCTACTCCAAGTTGACACGTTACTTCTCCTCAGAGGCAGAATGAGAGGTGACGGAACCACTAACAAAGTGGGGTTCAACCACCATCGAATTTAGGTACGTTTTTGGGGGGTTCGTTTAGTTGGAAATCATTGTTTTTATCAACAAATATGGGATAATGTGGATGAATGTATTACCATGAGAACTGAGTATGTTGCCAACCCATCACGTGTGGTGCATTCTTCTTCGCATGTTTTTTGTTTCTTCTTTGCATCCAGGTATAAGCTTGGGTATTGATGATCCCAGTTCTTACTTGACTGGAATTGAAACGAGGAAGACATATCAGACGTGATCATGGCATTTTCTCTTTGTCGCCAGCATAAAACGCAAGATGCTTGAATAGTCTCCAGGAATCCTACGATGACTATTTGGCAGATCACGACTATGGCTTCAGCACACAGAACCCTGCGTGTCTTCGAGAAAATCTGCTGGTGGATGCTGGTGGTTTGTGGGGAGCCGTCAAAATGTGGAGATAGTCACCAACAGAAGTGATGGTAGAACTTGCGATTGTCATATGTAGACTTGGATCTATGCATTGACCAAGAAAGAATCGACATTTATTTGACGATGCAAAAGCGTAACACCATTTGGTAAAGAAATCCAATGGTCCAATTGTTTGGTTTCTCGTTTCACAACTCATAGCCACCGGGCAGCCACCGTCCGCCTTGTACCCGATGCCGTTCTGATCCATGCTCATCCCATTGCTGTCCTGCATGGATTTGCTCTACACTTTGGCAATCCAATCGATGGAAAAACTCTGGACAGTTTTGGACATGTCCAGTTTGGATATCATAATATATCATATTTGGGATGAAATATGATGACCAAAACTCTCAAGATTTTTGGTGTTGTTTTCCCTTCGTCGATACTTTATTTCTGAACATCATTGCACGGAATCGATTTTCCCAAAATATTTCGCATCTCCAAAGATCCTTTCCAGGCCCTCCCAAGCTGTTTCAGACACGAAGTCAGTGGATCCCATTGGATCCCGAATTCTCAGCCCATCACAGTTCCACCATTCGACCATTCCCCGCCTCCCAAGGTTGTTTGGTGCCATCGTTGTACAGTCAGCTGCCACCTGTCCGAGTGTCACTTGGAGAAGGTGCATGTTTTGAAAACCTCCAAGTCATCATAGGAAAAAAATGATAGGTAAATTATAGTCACAAGGAGGGTAAATTGGTCATTTATGGTCATGTTACCATCATTTTAAACATTTTACCTTTATATTTACCAAATTTGTCCCCCTTGTACCTGGTGTGTTTGGAGCAACCCGTAGGACTTCAGGACCCAATGGTGTTTGGAAATGGATGATATGGCTTGATTTGTTGCAACTGGTGATGATTGGATGCAAGTTTTGGGTCTGTAATTCTTTTGGACTCAACGGGTCGGGTTAGGTTCGAGGTCATATATATATATATATATAATGAATCCTGCAGCAGAATGTAATCTGGTTGAACACAGAGAGCTCTTCAAACTTTGAAGATGCGTTGAAATGAGGATCAACTCAAAAACTGTACGTTTCAAAACCACCTTGAGACATATATCGGATTTCCATGGATTTCCACTGGCGCCAACGTCTACGACCGGCAATGCCGGAAGCACCTCACCTCTCCCCTGCGTCCGCGCCCAGGGTGGGACCTGCAGTGGTGACTGGGACATCGTGATCCATCTCAACACCACGGGGCCCAGCACTTCCACGGCTGATATCAAAGGTGGGCTCTCATAGCAGGGGTCAAAATCGCGGCGGATGGATTTTTGAATCAAAACTGAATGAACAATTTTGAAAAATTACATTTGACATATCAACTGAATGGCGGATGCACATAACATCCATAATATTATCAATTTCCAGCTGTTTTGCTGTTCACCATGGAGTGATCGGGTTTCGACTCAAAAACAGCAACTGGTGGAGAGGTGAAGCATGATGGAGTTCTGACTCGGTTATGATATGATTATCCGCAATTATGACCGGTCGTGCCTGGTTTCAGGTGAAACCAGGACAGCCTTGGTGAATCACAGATGTTGGTGACTTCACCTGTCGTTTCACCTGTCGTTTCACCTGACCAATTGTCCTAACGGTGAATCAAATTGTCTTTTCCTCAACTTTAAAAACCATTTCTGAATATCAAATGACTGGGAAGAACCAAATGAAATCTGGTGTTTCGACATGGCGTCTTTCTGCAGGAGCCACGGACATCAACACCAAGCTGACTCCTGAAGTGAGCACTCTCAACAAAGGCGCGGCAATGCCATGTGGACCATACTGGGAGAGCTCTCAAGATACCTTAGATGGGTTCTGTAGCAAATATCATAAGATATCTGGTGTTTTGAGATAGAACTATTGTGAAAAATCTTTATCATCATCATCATCATCATCATCACCATCATCGTCCTTATCCCACTATATTATATATATATAATCCCATAGTTGTCATGTTTTCTTCTGAATGGCTGACTTGCCAGGTTTGAAGATGTCGACCAGCAGGATCTATTGGCCACTTGGAATCTCCGAGAAAAATGGCCACTGGGGATGTGGATCAATGGTACACCAAAAGGTTGGTTTTTAACCAATGAACATCAGAACATGGAGATAAAAATGGATGGTTTTGGATGGTTTTGGATGGTTTTGGCAGTTGTGTATGAAAGATGATGAAATATATGTTGAAAGATGGCTGGGAAGAGAATGTGAATTGACTCGTCGTTCTTTGGGAAGAAGATCCCCAGAGAGTGTTTTTTTTCTGTTTAAAATCTCCGTCAAACAGATTATACCATCACATACCATGATCTTGAAGATCATTTCTCAGATGGCAACGGTTTAAACCCCTTTGGCTACTGACTCTTTACGTATGGCCAATCATTGGATGAGTTGCACACATTTGGTCGCTTTCCGCAAAACGATCGACACAAAAAAGTATCACTCGACAATTTTCGCATCTGGAGTTTGAACATGCTTAAACTGTTTGAAATCTTCCAAATATTTTAAAATCCAAGTTTCCGCCAAGCTTCACTCCTTCACCGCATTGGTGGATGGTCTTTGAATGGTAGATCCTGGATCCTTGGTCCGATATGGTCCGATCATCCCCAGATTTTCCCGTCGTGATGGCGTAGCGATGGCCGAGGTCGGGTGGCATGTCTCGTAGCCTGGGTCTGGCTCTGCCCACAGGTGGATTGGTGGATCTCCAGAGTCTGGTGACTCGTTTCACTCGGAAGCTAATTGGAAGGTCATGGATGGCACGAAAAGATGGGGAGGAAAGTGAGGAAACTGATGAAACTGAAGCTGGACAGAATGGAGAGATATGATGAATGTGATATGTGTGATTTGAGAGATATTTTAAATTCTTAAGATGCGGATTTTCAGTGGTACGTTGCCAAGCCTATGATCATCGGCAGTTCACCAGAAATGGGGGTGAACTCAGAGCAAACTGGGGATGTTGCAAGCAAGAAAGGAGATTTGGCCAACCGAATCGTTTTTTTTGATATATATATATATATATAATAGTTAATTACAGTTATAGTTAATTGTTGTGTAGGCTTGGCTGTTATCAAATGTCCTACAAATGCGGAGCCCAAACGTTTCCCAACCATCCTATTTCTGTCGTTGCTTGTTGCAGTACGACCTGTAGCCACGAAAAAATCAGTTCCATATTTTGGGTATCCCAAGAATCCTCCCAGGTCATCCCAAGAATAAACCACCCCATTTTTGGTCTATACCACCCATAAAAATGGTGATTTTGGGGATTGTTTATTATTGTTTTAACTTTGAACCACCTGAGTTAGTATCGCAGTACTGTAAATCATCATGTCCAGGTTAAGAAAGTTACGACCTCATTTTCTTTGCTTTGGACTGGCGAATTCACGCGAATTCAACCCTCCACTTTGTGAATTGCTGTTTAACGGGCCTTTTTTTGGTGCTTTATAAAGCCCTCCTGTTGTTCAACCCCTCTAAATTGGCCAAACAAACGTCAAAGAACGCCTCATACTTCCTGCTTCAAATCACCAATTTGATTCATTTGATGATTTCCCATCTCCAAATTCTAGAACATCAACTCCAGCTCCAACTCTAGAAATCCATGACTTTTCCCCCAGTTTTTTCCATCCCATCCTGCCTAGACCGCAGTGCCGGTGCCGAGGTCTACGCCTGGATCTTCAACAGCACCGGTGCCTATCAGCTGCCGTCGCCTTCAGAACTGCCGAGCTGCGACTGCATCGACCCCCAGGGTCAGGCCACAGAGGTCTGGAAAAGCGGTTTCCGGGGCTGGAAATGGTGGTTGACCCGGCCTGGGAAACATACAAAAAGCTATGGAAAATGGTGATTTATAGTGGATTTATCCATCTAAAATGGTGATTTATGGTGGATTTACCCATCTAAAATGGTGATTTATGGTGGATTTATCCATCTAAAATGGTGATTTAGTTCGTGGATTTACCCATGAATAGCATGGTGGATCTTTCCAATAGCTATGTAAACGTTTACCAGAGGGTATCTGAGATACCAAAAACATCAACAAATCAACCATAGGACCATAGTTATATGGCTGATTTTAGGGATGATTCCTTGATGCTGAAAGACTTGTGGTTTGTTTCGCTGTAGATAAATGATGGCATCTGTCATATAAGAAACCATGAGAAAGGTAATGGAACAATGATTAAAAATGATCTGGCTGATTTTGGATGATGTCTAGCGGACTCAGTTGCGACCAAACCCCATTTAATGAAACTGAATCGGGGGGAACCATTTGCTCTAAGTGCCGCATTCGCAGAAGATCCATGGTTTTACCATCCAAACATCAGGGTTGCCTGAGTTTCCTTGCCAACAGATGGGACTGGAATTGCTTAGTGGAAGAATATTGATGGACGTATTCATTGAGAACCCCTATTTCCCCGAGCGACAATTTCACTCTTCCTCTCACCAGCATCTTGTGTTTACCATGAAGATAGCAGGATTTCTATGGAAATTCCCTGCAAGACCCATTGACTCCCACAATATCCCACTATGTTGCAAATTGTACCACATTTGTTGTAGATTAAACCCTTCCATATGAATTTGATGTATCCCCTGGCCCAACCTCAACATGTTCTGATGCTTAAACTAGATATGTTTTACAAACTATCATAATTGTCACCCTGTCACCGTCCCTATTACAAAATAGCCATTTATAGCAACACATATTCCAAATATGCATTATAATTATTATCCCAAAACATGATTGCTGTTTTGCTAGTTTATAGCCATAATGAATCATAATGATATATCACATAGCAGAACATTGTCTATTCTGGCTATATGATATTATAGTATATTGCGTACAGTATCCCAACCATTGCTATAAATATCATTCTAAATCCACTATAATTGTCAGATATCCCAACCGTAATATCGTCTCTTAGCGAACCCCCTCCACTCCACTCCCCCCAAAGAAAACATAGATTGCGGAGAGGGAAAATCTCAATTTGATAGTTAAGTTAAAGAGCAAACAAAGGGATCTAACATGATCAACATACCCATGAAAGGTATATAAAATCAACTCAAACCCACGATATTTATCATTGTATTCCCATCATATCCCCTTAGAAATTGGTGACTTTCTTGTATCATCTTGTATCCACATCTTAATATGTCATTCCCAATTCATCTTCCATTAAACATATATTAAACAATCATCATTTCCAATGGACATCTCCAGCCCCAAAAGTCAAGTCCTTCGCCAGGACTTCTCCCAGTGCAACAGCTCGTCGCTGTTCACCACGGCGCTCCGTGCCCTGACGCCCCACTGGTCCACCACGCTGCTGGGGAACTCCGCGGGATGCTTGGGACGGCTCAGTGACTCGGTCACTCGGTGGAGGTGGAGGAGTTCACCAATGACCAATTGGGAACTTCACAAAAACACATAGGGAATTATATGGTATATGGTATATGGTACTATATATATATATGGATAATAAGTATTATGGTATATGGTATATGGTGTATAATACTATGGTGGAAACATACTATAGAATATAGGGATTTAGTGGATTCACAGGATTTTTGTTGATCCAATATATAATGGATTAATCATACTATAGAATATAGGGAATGTGTGGGGATGATGATACCAGGGTTACCATCTTGAAGCATCTGGGTTTTGTTTCTATTCTTTGACTGAAGAATTGCAGCATGGCCTCAGTGCAACAGTTGACTTAGATGATTGAACCGATAATGACATCGCAATTCAAACAGATTCCAACAACCAAGGGATAATTCTTCACGATATGAGCAGCAAACCACTATGTAGCCAACATTCCGCTGCAGAAGACATCTGCCACGTACCCTTCATACCACAACCCCGAAGTTGTATAGAATCTATTTCTGGATTCAGTACCCACTACATATGACATCCCCAATCATCCCCACCATGTAATGATACTATTACGAAACCACCATTCTTTGCCAAATATCCTCCCCCACTTCTTCCGCCCCCAGGTGGCATTTTGCCCGTCAGCGTGAGGGAGATCCCCTTCCCGACTCCTGCCTACACGGACGACCCCTTCGCCAGCTTCGTGGAGAGCGTCTTCGGTCTCTTCTTCGTCCCTGGATCGGGGACGGGGGACTGGGGACTGCAACGGAAGCCACGGACGCCACGGAAAATGGATGAAGAAATGGGAGATACAGGGATAACCAAAGATATATGATTGGGAATTGGTGGGATATATATATATATATAAAATGATCATCTGAAATCTGTGGAGGAAAGCCATATCATGACACGACAATATGATGGATTGAACTTTCACCAATGTTTGCATAATTAATGTTGCGATCTATATCATTGTAGTAAAATTTGCAGATGTTAAGCAAACATTGGTGAAACTTTGATACACAGAAATGGGAGGTTTTGAAGCCACAGGCTATTGGATGCTATTGGTTTCATTGGGGAAATGACCTTGATGATCATTCATGCAGTTGATAAACTGATGAATGAGCAACAAACATGAGAGTAGAAACCAGAAGTTGCTTTTCATTGGCTTCAGCCAGACACACTTGGAAAATGAACCACGTTGAACGCGGAATTCTGGTGAAATTCCAGTGAAATCCAGGTGGTTCATTTTTAAAATATCACCCGATCACCGATCTTCACACCTGGATTGACCCGAGGTCTTGGTTTTCATCTGGCCTTCAACGCGGATCATGAAGAGCTTAGTGGAGGATAAGGAGGCGCGCATCAACGAGGTCATGAAGATGATGGGGATGCCAGCGGATGCTCGGTGGATGTGGAACCCTGTGGAACCATATGGTGCCAGAAGAAATCACTGTTTTTCTGGTGGTTTGGCGAACATGTGGGAAGTGTGGGAAGTGGAACTTAGATATCCAGAGATTCTCCGATGATTCGTTGAGACAATCATCAGATTGCAGACCGTTGTCCATTTCATATAAATCGCTTGCACAACACATCCCCGTTCAATGGGGTTACCCGTTACCTCACCCGAGCGTTTAATGGGCTGTGCAGTTCTTCAATGACCATCAAAGACGGCGATAAGGCGATGTTTTTGAAGTCCACAGTTTTGATAAATGTTTTCCCCGAGATGTGCGGATTTGACCATTTTCAGGCCTGGCGGCATCATGTTCAGGAAACTTCTCAACATGTTTGGCAAGGCTATCCCACTATCGGATACTATCCAGCTGTCCTGGAATCTCCATCCTTGATATATCTTGATATATTCCGTCCTAATTCTTGACATCTCCGGAGAATTTCGCAAGATTTTCCAAGGTGTTCATCCCTGCTTAGCGGCCATCCAGTTGGATGGATTTCTCTTATGACTCGGAATCGGAATGACCATCTCAGAATCAAAAATAATCAGAATAGAACAGCAATTCACTGATAACAACAAAACAAACTGATGATCTTTTTGGCTTATATATTTATATATATATTTATAATGATATCATCCCAAAATCATCCCATTTCGAATGTTTTATCCCCCCCAATTTCACCTCATTGCTTCGAAGCCGAATTCCGGTGGTTTTAAACCTCATTTTCCCCGTCGCCATAAATGGGGAATACCCCATCAACAAATCCATAGGCAGAAACCATCATAAACCCATAAAATACCATACTATACCCCATCCATTGTGGCAAAAAAAACACAGGGTGGTGCCTCAGTTCGTTAGCTAAGTTGGTTTGTAGCTCCAGTGACTGGGGTGTGTGGCAGTTATAATATATATGTATACCATACATATATATATATATACTGTATATATATATATATATATAGTCATATAATGGTGGTAATACACCAACTTATTATGTCAGGGGGGCACCACCCTCCATCGTGGCTGTCCAAGGAAGCCATCCTACTGGGTTGGTACCTGACCTACGGCCTGCTCTGGATCATCCCCGCTGCTCTGATGACAGTGGTCTGCTGGGATTCCGTCTTCCAGCCCGGGGCCATGGATGGGTCATGGATGGGCCATGGGCCATGGGCCGCGGTGGACTGGGAGGAGAAAATCCTGATCAGTGATGGAACAGCTCTTCCAAGAAGTTTTCAGTTGCTACTTGACATTTCAGTTCCAGGTATAAGTATATTATACTGTATATAATTATATATAATTATATATAATTATATATTATAATTATATATTATATATTATAATTATATATAATTATATATTATATATAATTATATATATATTACTATTTATATATATATATATATCATATTCATTATAGGTCCCCATAGGCCAACTCATGGTGTTTCTTTCACTTTTTTTCCCCACCAATTGTGTTTCAGGATTCTGGCAACCCCAGGCACAGCAACAAGCTGCTGGTCTTCATCTTCTTCTGGCTCTTCGGAGTTTGCGTCGCCATGGGTTGTGGGGGGATATCCCATGGGATGCTTGAAGGGATTACTGGAAGGGCTTATGAAGCACCAGGGATTGAGGGATTGTTTGGTTCACTGAATTTCATAGAATTGGATGATGGGAAAATTTACAGGAAACCCCTATATTTGATGGTAAAAACCATGGTTTCCTGTAGATTTTCCCTTAAACCAATCCATTGAGAATTGGGCTGGTTGAAATATCTTGAAATCTGAAACTGCGACAGGTGGTGACCTTGTGTTCCTTCATCGCTGTCTTCTTCTCGAAAGCCAAGACGGCCAGTGTGGTGGGAGCGTTACTTTTCTTTCTTCTCTACTTCCCCTTCCTGTGCCGTGGGCCGAAGTTTTTCGATGTTCTTCGGTGTTTTTTAACGTGATAATATAATATCTGTGATTGGATTCGTCAAGTGAGCTGGAACTGGGAACTGCAGTCTCTGATTTGCCGATTGTACCAGGGGTGTACTCCTGTTGAAGATTGCCACTTCCACCATTCTATAATATTCTACATAATATATTTGTACTTAGCTAATGTATATAAATATATAAAATTATGTTATATATATAGAGATTGGTGATTGGTTTCCGTGTATTTTTCTGGTTTGTCTTCGAATCTCATGGCATTTTACCCAACCTGCAACGAGGTTCGTGTCGGACAGCGGCGCCTCCGCGAGCACCAAAGCCTTGTCGTCGCTGTCGCCGCCTGTGGCCTTGTCCATAGGCGCTTCCGGTGGCATTTGACCAGTGAAAATCCGATGGAAAATCCTAACCCAGGAGGAATCCGAGTTCGATATGATTCTTATGATCCCGAAACTTGGATGTATGATGTTTTACCTATAAGTGATAGGCAACAACTTAGATCATATATATTTAGTAAGTTGATTTTTGATGTTTAGGATCCCAATTGATATCCCAATTAAACCAAGATATGTTTTCCCCAACATGCGGTGCCCAGATTTCGGCTCGCAGGTGCTGGGCTCATTGCACAATTTGAAAGTGCGGGTGTAGGACCTGAACGGCTGAGTGGTTACCCCTTGAATTTAAGTGAGTAAATCCCTCAAGGTATAAGAATTAAGTGGTTATTATTATAGTTACTAGTTACTATATATAGTATTGTACTATAGCTATATGTACACTTTTTATATCACTTAATACTATATTGAGTTTATATAGTGTACCATATAGTTCTTTGATGGCTGACCCATCTAATTCGATGATTTACCGAACATCTTGGGATTTTGACCGGTGCCCAAAATGCCCAACTGTGACTCCGGTGAATCAAAGGCTGACTTCAAAATCTCCACGGTCACACTGTGGATGGGCCAGCGAAATCCACCAGTTGATAGGTGTTTTATCCCATTATTTATAGGGTTTCAACACATTTCAACCATCCCAAATTGGTGGTGCAGGATTTCGCTGGGGCCCATCCACCGTAGGTGCTTTTCGGTCCTAGGGGATGGTCGTAAAGGGGACATCCGGTCATCCCCCATCACAGGGCCTTCGATCAGGAGTCAGATGGTCCAACATCAACGAGTCCATCGACAATTCGTCCATGGGACAAGTGTTGCTCATGCTGCTGCTGGATACTGCGACTGCTCATACAAAGGGGACCAAAAGATGGCCTGTGGAAAATTGGATGGCCATGATGAGTGGATGTTGGGATTCCACAAAATTTCAGAGCCAGTGTGTTTCGATTTGTTCAGAGCCAGTGCATTTCACGTCCTTCAGTTTGATGTGCTTCAAATAGCAAATGTTGCAATTCCAAAAGACCTGCAAATCTGAATGGTCAGTGTATGGTGGTCCCCAAGTGAAACATAAAATCAATTTTTGAGCCATGCCTGCATCAAAGTATAGTGACAGTTGATATTCATTTCTGGTCGGCTTTAGATGTCCATTGTGCAAGTCTTGGTCCGTTTTCTTATCCCATGTTTCTCATCTTTCATAGTGTAGTAAAGCATGAAACAGATCCTTGATAACTATATACAATATTATATTATATTATATTAATGTTATTATAACTATCAACCAATTTTTCACAGATCCTAGTTGTGTTTTGGGCCGAAATTTTGCAGATCACCAGGTGATCTTTGCTCTCTTGGCCTGGTACTTGGACAAGGCCCAGATGTTTAGACGAAAGAGATGCATATGGCATGGAGGTTTCCATAGTGGGGATACCTCAATAGCTGGAGGGTTTATTTCATAGAAAATCCCATCTATAAATGGATGATAACTAGAGATACCACCATTTTAGGAAACCCCCATATTGCAGGATATTTATGGATATTCTCTGTCTAAAGTGTCTAAAGATCTGCATATTAGTTGCATAATTGTATCTTTTGGCCTGAAATTTACGGCCGCCTTTCTGAAGAGTCGAAGAGGAACCAGAACTGTTCATTTTGTTCTGATGGCTTACCAGGTACTGTATCAGAAAAGCAGGATTTGTTCCGGAATCATCAAAAAGACACGAGTCTAATGGTAAAATCCCAATCAGAAGAATTAATCGTTCAAGATGTGTCACTTCAATCACTTCCACTTGCATGTGTCTTTGCTCTTGTGTCAAACTAACTCTTGATCACTTGTATTGAACGGTCCCCCATATGTGTAGGTGCAATCACCCCAGGGCCGAGCAAAAAATTCCTTTCCACCGCAGGTGTTGGTGGTCGGCTTTGGAACCCGCCAGCCGTGGTACTTCCCGTGCTCCAAGCACTACTGGAACCCAAACCACAGCAGCATGTCCCAGGCATATCATGGGGATGTCATGGGGATGTCATGGGGATGTTAGGGATATCATGATTTCTTATCTTACCCTCTGGTAAACTAACATAACTATGGAAAATCACCATTTTGAATAGGAAAATCCACTATAAACGGTCATTTTCAATAGCTATGTTAAATTACCAGAGGGTATCCAGTATCATAGAACCCTATGGGAGTGGTGCTATGGAAAACACTCCTCTGGTGGTCATTTGATAAAGGCTGTCTTGGTCGAAATGGCGGTCCAAGCTTGCATTGGTTCAGTCCCAATACTGGAGTACCAAAAACCAATATCATGGCTTATCAGTGTTTATCATCATAGTTCTTTCATTTTTTCTAGTTACTCTCTTGTTGATTAGTTTGACAAATGAAAAAAGCAAAACACAGGTACTATGCTCCATTCATTGGTCATCCTTTTCCATTCATCATCATCACCATTGCCATTACTATCATCCAACATTTCAGGTTGGTAAACTATATGGGAGCCGTCCGTAAAAGCAGGTCACAAATTTATGAATCGATGCGTTTACTTTGCTTTGCGCGATTGCTAAAACCTGCATCGCGATAGGCTGAGCGATTGGTTGGCGATTGGTTATACGGCTACCACCCTATTACTACTACTACTATACTAGTACTAGTACTAGTACTAGTACTACTACTACTACTACTACTTTTACTACTAGTACTGCTACTAGTACTGCTACTAGTACTGCTACTACTACTACTACTACTACGACTACTACGACTACTACGACTACTACGACTACTACTACTACTACTACGACTACTACGACTACTACGACTACTACGACTACTACGACTACTACGACTACTACTACTACTACGACGACGACGACTACTACTACTACTACTACTACTACTTTCGAGACCAGAACCATGCCAATAATTGACATCCATCCATCCATCCATCCATCCACCTCAGCTCTTATCATTGCTACTTCTACTATTACTATTACTACTATTACTTCTTCTTCACTCCTCCTCCTCCTCCTACTACTACTACTACTAGTAGCACTAGTACTAGTATTTGGGGCACTAGTAATGATATTACTTTGACGATCACTAAAACTGTTCCTAGTTTGATTGCCCGTGCTGATTTTTTTGAAGTTGAAGAAGACTCCGGGAAAGGTCAGAAACAGGTCAGAAACAGGTCAGAAACACCAAAAAGGCAGCACTTGCCTAGCATCCATCCATCCATCCATCCATCCATCCATCCATCCACCTCAGCTCTTATCATTGCTACTTCTACTATTACTATTACTACTATTACTACTTCTACTCCTCCTCCTCCTACTACTACTACTACTACTACTAGTACGAGTACGACGACGACTACTACTACTACTACTACTACTACGACTACTACTACTACTACTACTACTTTCGAGACCAGAACCATGCCAATAATTGACATGGCCGCGCGCGCTCCGTCCGCGCGGAATCCGCGCAGATGTTTTCAGGTCAGAAGGACATTCAAGCTAGCTCCAATTGAAAACAGGTCAGAAACAGGTCAGAAACAGGTCAGAAACAGGTCAGAAACACCAAAAAGGTAGCACTTGCCTAGCATCCCATCCATCCATCCATCCATCCATCCATCCGATCCATCCATCCATCCACCGGTTCAGCTCGAGCATTGCTACTTCTACTATTACTATTACTTACAATATACTACTTCTGGTTCTCCTGCCTCCTCCTCCTACTACTACTACTACTAACTTTCGAGACGCAGGAACCATGCAATAATTGCATGGCCGAGGCGCGGAAAGCGCGTGATTCGCGCTCGGCGGCCGGAAGGTTCCGCGGGCAGAGTTGGGTGTTTTGTCATGGTCAGAAGGACATTCAAGCTAGCTCCAATTGAAAACAGGTCAGAAACAGGTCAGAAACAGGTCAGAAACAGGTCAGAAACACCAAAAAGGTAGCACTTGCCTAGCATCCCATCCATCCATCCATCCATCCATCCACCTCAGCTCTTATCATTGCTACTAATACTACTACTACTACTCCTGCTACTACTACTACTGCTACTACTACTGCTACTACTGCTACTACTACTACTACTCCTACTACTACTTCTACTCCTACTCCTACTCCTACTTCTACTCCTACTCCTACTCCTACTCCTACGCCTACTCCTATTCCAATTTCCACTACCACTACTGCTAGTGCTACTGCTACTGCTAGTGCACTGTGAGTTTTCCGGACCGTTTCCGGACCGCACAAGCTTATTTGGCTCCCAAATTTGAAATCGAATGCGTTCACGCATGGATCCTTACTCTCATTACTAGATTTGCTACTACCCCCAGCACTACCACCACACCCGCTGCTACTGCACCACCCTGCACCACCACTACCACCACTACCACCACTACCACTAGTACACCTAGGAATTTCTGCTCTTGCTTTTAAATCCAATTGCGCTCGTGTGAAGGGTCAGAAACGAGTCAGAAACCAGTCAGAAACCCGTCAGAAACCGGCCAAACGCAATCTCTCTCTCTCTCTCTCGCTCTCCCTTGCCTATTCCCTCACCCTCCCATCAGAACTCCTACGCCTACTCCTATTGCAATTTCCACTACCACTACTGCTAGTGCTACTGCTACTGCTAGTCCTGCTGGTACTACTGTGAGTTTTCCGGACCGTTTCCGGACCGCGCAAGCTTATTTTGCTTCCAAATTTGAAATCGAATGCATTCACGCATGGATCCTTACTCCCACTACTAGATTTGCTACTACTCTTAGTACTACCACCACACCCGCTGCTACTGCACCACCACTACCACTAGTACACCTAGGAATTTCTGCTCTTGCTTTTAAATCCAATTGACATGAGTTCCGCTGAAGGGTCAGAAACGAGTCAGAAACGAGTCAGAAACCAGTCAGAAACCCGTCAGAAACCGGTCAAACGCAACCATCTGTTTCCCCCTCCCTCCCTCTCTCTCTCTCTTTCTCTCTTTCCCGCCCTCTCCCTTTCTTCCCTTGCCCTGCTACTAGAACTCCTTCTCCTATTCCTACTCCTACTCCTACTCCTACTCTTACCCCTCCTACTACTACTACTACTACTACTACTACGACTAGTACTACTAGTACTACTAGTACTACTAGTACTACTGCTGCTGGTACTACTGTGAGTTTTCCGGACCGTTTCCGGACCGCGCGAGCTTATTTTTTTCCCAAATTTGAAATCGAATGCGTTCACGCATGGATCCTCATTATATAATACATAACTTATATTTTATG